GCGGGTGATTCAGAACAGCTAGAGATTGGATCCTTAAGTCTTTGGGATACCACCTGCCCCGGCTCTCTGCTGTCCATGGGCACTCGCTAAAATAAAGGTACAGCAGCTGTGATTGGGCTCAGTTGCATTGGTTCCCCCAGAATTAGTTGGCCTTTTGTTTACATGCTTTCATCCTCTTTGCCCCCCACTGCCTTGAAACTTTATTTCTGAGGAGTTTTTTTCCTGAAATCAAATACCCTCCTCTCTCCTGTCCGCACATCCCTTCTTACAAATCGGATTGACCTTAGACATCAAGGTCCTCTAGGAAACTTGAGGGCATAGGTAAAGTAGTTTAGGCAAATTCATGCCATGTTTTTGTTCTGAGAGCCTAAACCATGCATATTTCCCTTACCTAGCAGTGCTCCCGCTGAGCTTTTTTGAGCAGAAAAAAAGTATTAAATTACAATGGGGAAAATGGTGCTTTTTCTCCTGGTGTATTTATACTATTTTGCTACCATGCAGCCTCACCTAGAAGTTGCATATCAGAAAAGCAGGAAAGGAAAAGGTTTTTTGGGTAGAGCTCTTCATGCTATGGCAAAAACAGAAAGTAGATACAGAGTTAACAGACTCATATCTGAGGACAGGCAGTATCTTGTTTACATGGATGAACTTGGAACACCTTGTGACTCTATGCTCTTTGTACCTCTTGGTATGTTTTAAAACAGCACTCCCCAGCCTTTTTGGCAACAGTGACTGGTTTCGTAGAAGACAATTTTTTACATGGACTGGCTAGGCTAGGACTGGCTAGGATAGTTTCAAGCACATTACATTTATCGTGCACTATTTATGTGATTATTACAGTGTAATAAATAATGAAATAATTATACAATTCTCCATAATGCAAAATCAGTGGGAACCCCGAGCTTGGTTTCCTGCAACAAGATCGGAGAGCATCAGTAAGGAGCCTGCCACAGAGATCCCTTGAATGTGCAGTTTACAGTAAGGTCTGCGTTCCTCTGAGAATTTAATGCCTGGAGATCTGGGCTGGAGCTGAGGGTACTTAGGGAGTTGGCAGGGGTTCTCTCACGCCCGCTGGCCTCCATTTTTGGGGCCTCGTGGAGAACAGGTGAAGTTTCAGAGGACTGGAGGGTGGCATCAGTGGTCCCAATTTTCAAAAAGGGTAGTAGAAGGGACATGGGGAATTATAGACCTGTTAGCCTTACGTCCATTGTAGGAAAAACAATGGAAAGGCTCATAATAGAGAGAGATCTAGTGATGCTAGATAGGGAAGGGAGGCTGACAGCCACACAACACGGTTTCCGCAAAAACAGGTCCTGCCAGACAAACCTTGTGGAATTCTATGACAAGGTTTCGAGATGGCTAGATGGAGGGGATGCAGTGGACGTGGTCCACCCTGGTGGAGAAACTGAGGCGTTTTGGGATACACCAAAGCACTGTCCAGTGGATTAGGGCACGGTTGACTGACCGAAAGCAGAAGGTGACCATTTATTTATTAAAACATTCATTTATTAAAACATTTTTATGCCACCCCATTCGCCGAAGCCTCAGGGAGGCTTACAACATTAGTGGGGAATCATCGGGATGGTGGCCGGTGACTTAGGGGAACAGATGGGGACTTAGAGGCACAGATTGGAGTCTCCCCCCCTTGAAGTCGAGGGACTCCTCAGGGCACTGGACATTACAAAGGCGCCAGGCCCTGACGGGAGCTGAGGAGGCGAACCTCGTGCCAGGGAATAGCAAACACAGGTGAAGCTTTGCACACTCGCATGCTGCTCACCTCCTGCTGTGCGGCCCAGTTCCTAACAAGTTGGGGACTCCAGTTTTAAAACACTTCTTTGTTCATATTTTACAGTTTTAGATGTTTTACCTTGGGGGTTGAACAGCCGAAAGTCTGAACCTGAAAGCCAGCCTGTGGGCCACACTTTTTCTATGAAAAAATCCATCTCCCCAACTTTTAGGAAGAAAAAAAGGTTGCATCCAGAGTGCTCTGGAGTGCTACAAGGGTCAAAGGCAGGTTGATTTTTTCCCCTGCCACCACTGAATATGGATGGAGATCAGACTACGTGTCGCACAAATTTGCTCCACATTTCAGAGTGTCACATGAAAAAACCCATCAGGCAACCAAACCACTCGTGTTTACAGGTTGAGGGGAGAAAATAAACCCATTTGTCCACTAGATGGCACAGTTCGTTTTGGTCATCATGAAGTACAGTAACAGATTATTAAGAGCCCAGAGAATTTCAGCTACTGGGTGGTATATGGATGATGAAGCTGATGATGTAGATGGAGAGTCTATGCTCCATCCAGTTGGGGCCTTTTACTCAGTTTATCTGAGCCACTTTTTTGCTGTTTTGCGGCGCATCAGAGCTTACAGTGGAAACACGCGTGCGTCCATCCAAAAAGGGATGTGACTCTTGCTGATGTTTGCAGATACATGACGCTTTTACAATGTGATAAACATGGAAGTTCAAATGTAACATTTGGCATTTTTGCTTTTTAAAACAATGTACGGGCCAGGCATTCAGATGGCCGCTAAGTATGATGAGGTGGCACACAGAGAAAATAGCCAAGAGACTAGTGCAGTCCTGGGAACAGGAAAAAGCTAATTATGCAAAACCAGAAATAATGCTACCAAGGGCTGTCTCTATTTTGAAAAGCTGCCCACTCCTACTCCAGTTTAAAGATAAAGAACTGTGAGAAGGAAGATGGAGCTTGAAGTTTCCTATAAGCAGCATTTGAACAGGTAATCGGTCCATAGCTGCCTACACTATAGTGAGAAACCTACTGCATTGCTATTTAAATTACCTTCACTATTTCTAAATTTGCATCTAGGCATATTAGAATATGCACATATGTGCATACTAGTGTCATCCTTTTGCTAAATACTAGGCAAGAGATCTGGCAGGGATGCCAATTCATCAGCAAGTGGCCCAGATCCTGAGGGCAGCCATCAGACTGAGGTGCTCTTTCAAAGCTTGGTTAGCATGCAGCCATGGTCAGAACAAGTTGTTTCCTCTCTCCGGGTCCTGGGCCATCCTTTCCTTCTCACTTACCTTCACATGGATAGGAGCAGCTGGGTCAGGCAATCTGCTCCTGGTCCCAAATGAATGGAATATAAACTCAACCACCACCACCGCCGCCACATCGTCATCATCTTCTCCTGACTTGACCTGACCTCCTGCTCATCACCATCATTTATATACCAAGCAGTAGCCAAAGTTCTCTGGGCTGCTAACAACCACATCATTTCATGATGAACAAAATGAACCTGAAGTGCCCTGCTTCCTCCAGGTTCCACTGTGGGCTAAGCCTTTGCCAGGAGTTTACATTGTACTTTTGCATCTTTCAGTTAGTCATTTTGTAGGTTTCAAACTCTTGGGTATAAAGTTTGCCTTTGACCTAGCAAACTTTTCCCTTTTCTCTTGTTTTGGCACCTGCTCTACATAGTTGTCAGGACAAAGCAGTCAACTCTGCCAACTCCTCATCACAATCAGCAGCAGGTTGAGTCCTGTGATGAACAGTCAAGTCTGTTATCACTTCTGCCTGTTTTGCTTCTGCAGACACTGCCTCTGTCTATATTTCATGCATTTTAGGCTGAAATCCTGTGCATGTTTAGGCAGAAAAAGGCCTACAACTCCCAGTATGCCCCCACTGTGCACGGGATTGATGCAAAAAAATCAAAGGTACTTCCAGATCTCATCGTAACACTAAGCTAAGTGAGCACTTGCAGAAAGCTAGTTCAACTAATCATGGCTAGTTCAACTAGTCAGTGTGGACATGGCTCTTTTCTCCCAGAGCCATTCTTTAGGGTTGGAGATGTCAAAGAAGTCTGCAATGAATTAAGATCAGTTTCACCTTGCAACATTCCAGACTCCCAGTATATTATATATACAGTCTTAAGAACTAAAATAAAAATCAGGAGAGCAAGGAGCCTGGTCAGTACTAAGAATGAATTCGATCGGCACCGCACTGGAGATCTCAAATGAATGGCTGAAGTGCTTTTCTTTAAGAAAGCATTTATAATCAGTTTACTAGCATGTCTGCACTTGCACATTCAGGTGAACTGAATACCACTTTTGCACTTTTAGCACTTTTCCTTTAGCACTTTTGCATGGGCTGGTATGCATGCAAGCTCTTTTCCATACGACCTGAAATCCTGAAAGCTTTTGCATTCATCAGGAGCCAGTTGTACAGGTCTTCCAGAGAGGTCCTTCAGAACAATGGCACACCCATAACATACTTTTGAGTGGTAGCTGTTCCATAGCAACTTCAATGAGATTGAAGGTGGCATTAGACGTTCCATGCAGGATTCCCAAAAGAAATTTTGGAAGGAAAGCTTTATGCTTTACTAGCACATCTCTCAAAGAAACCAAAGCAGTGTAGGCTATTGCAGAGTAAATGAATGCAGCATTTAGCAGGCAGAGAAGAAACTTTAACTACATATAATGGTGGACAGGGCAGTGAAATGAGTAGATTAGAAATATACAAGAATTCCCATTGTCCTTGGTGAAGTGCTGAACTGTATGGTTTGAAGTGCCAGGACAAAGGAAAGCTATTAATATGCAGATAAACAGAAGCAAAGATGGTTACCATGGAATTAGAAGCACATGTTAAGTGTGTGGATAGAATAGGCATGGTAGAGACACTCATTTAGCTTCCATTTTGAACAAACCAAGCTAATGTGCGTGTCCCACATTCATTCAAAATCCACTGATATGTGGATTGGATCATAGTTATGCTTCAGATTGAACACGTCTCCAAATTTTTCCTCACAGTTTTTAGACCAGAAACTGCATACATAATGCACACATTAGGGAAAGTTGCACACAGAAATATATGCATTAGGTCAAGCTGAACAATAAGGTACATCCTTAAACTGAAGATCTTGGAGAATGGATTTAGGATTGAAGATATGTGGAACTGATGTGGAAAGGAAATAAATTGATTCATTTGTCTCTGTAGGCTCTTACACAGTAACATTCAGGCCAAACACTTTGATGTTATTTTAGAAAATTTAATAAATTCTTAACATCAATTTGATCACTATTGATTTAACAAAAGAACTTCACAAAATTTAATCTGATTTATTTTTTTTTCTTAATTCATGATTCACAATTCAAGAGTTGCCAACCTAACAATGTTTTCAAAACAACTCATTGTTCCAAATAAAACTAGTCATCTATGATTTCACAGTGCTGTAGTTCTGTACAAAGACTGTATTACAAGTACGAAAAATATAAGTGCTTTTAATGCACACACTTCTTAATACTGCTCCTGGGTCTTTGGCACCTGTTTTATCTTACCATCTATAAATAGCTTGTATGGGGGAGGGAGAAGTATAATGCAGGTAAGAAATGATTTCAGCCAAAGCAAATCATTTTCAGTTAACATTAAACACGTAAATGCGGTGATTCTGGGCAACTTTTACAAAAGTATAATTAACAAGAGTGACTGAGCCTGAAAAAGACAGACCATCAAGGCAGACCACATGTGTTAGCACATTTTCTCCATGCTATTGTGCTGGCTTGGAGAGAAGCTTGCTATCTATGCTGTGTTTCCACTGTACACAAATGGATTAATTGGGAGTAGGGGAATGTCCATTGTACGGTCAGAACAATGTGGGAGCTGAATAGGGAAGTGAAAATCTGTCTGTTTTGTTTTCTCCCCACTTTTGAATTTTTTGAATCTCAAGTTCTTTTTATCCCAAATATGGAGAACTTACTGAATTCTGTAAATTCTTACAAAAGACTGAAACCAAATGCTCACCTGCCTGCATAGGCTAAATTCAAGAGTACACTATTCCCAGCATGGAGGGGACTGTGATGTACCTGCCTGCCATGCAGCTGTAAAAGATGAAAAGCCTGCCAGAAATAAGAGTTGGCAACATTAAGGTAGCTAGTATTCACTTGGCTGAACACACAGGGATTCAAAGCCAGACTTTTAAGAGCTAAGCTATCAAATTCCTGGGCCTGGGTAGATGTATGAATCAATTTCAGTTGCTCCTGCATCCAAAATTTTAAAATCTCAACTTCCTTTTTTCTTGGACAAGGAGAAAATGGTGATTTTGTCAAATTCAAATCAAAACTGGACAGAAACTCAATCTTCATCCATCCCTAGCATGGCATGACATAGGGCTGGGGCCAATGTTTTAGGAGAAGGGCACATGCTTTGCTTTTTTCTAAAGATGTGGTATTTCCAGTTGGGGAAAAAAGGAGAAAATCTAGGATCAGACTCTAGATGACCATTGTCAATTGAATAGGCAAGTGGTCTGGTTTGGTAATTTAATATGCTTAGACATGACAAGGGAAAGTAGAGCTGAAGTACTGCAGCAGTGTTTAAACCCCTGAGTACAACAGCTTTGGTTTAAAGATTTTTCTCTGCTTTGTGACAAACTGGAAAAGTTTTGAAACGTATGAAAGGGAGCCAGGAAGGGAATGTGCACTAAGTTAAATTTGGTTCTATCTACCAAGTCTTTACTTTAGAATAAGCTTATGTAGCTGACATAAGACAAAGTTAGGTTGTTTTAACAGTGGTGGAATAATGCTGAAAACGCATATTATCACTCCTGAAGCTCTGGGGTTGGTTTCTGCTTGCCCCAAGAAGTATCCAGAACTACAGTATTGATTGATGTTGGGACTTTAATGTATTTTTGTATTCTGCACTACATAATACATCTTTGGGTTATATTAATTACATGGGCCCACAAACACACTACTTGAGATGCCTGGATCTAAATATAGATTTCTCCTTGTATTGCTGGGTTATTTACTGTGCTTATGAAAAGCTGGACAACTGAAAATCCCTATGTCTTTCTCCTTTGGTTTATATTTTACGCTTTCTTTTTCAAAATATAGTGATATACTTGGCAAACTTTAAATAGGGCTTAAATAGGTGAAGAGAGCCCTGCCTCTCCTTCATAAGTGGCCCATGCACTGAGCATCAAGATGACGAGTGCAACCTCAGAAGGCATATTCTTTTAACAAAGTGGTTAGCCTGGAGCACAGACAGGCCTTCTGTACCCCATCATCCTCTATGTTTGCACACCTGCATCCATCCATGCAAACCATTGTGGGGGAAACCATGGGTCTGGAGGAAACCATGGGTGGATTATGTTCTGCAAAATTCCTATGCACACAGTGGACTGTTTTGAACCAAACCCTAACCCTATCTCTGACATTTATAATAGTATTTCTTTCAGTAAGGTTTTCCATATCCTGCTGAAAAGTACTGCAAGGATATTACAGGTTCTCCCAAAATACTCTTTCTGAGAATGTACTCTGCCACCAAATGTTAATAAAAGTTGTTTGTAGCAAAGCACTGCATATGCTGTGTATTTGGGGAGACTAGTTATGCTTAAATGGTCTTAATTTGGATACAGGCAGCATCCTTTATTGTGGGAAATAATTGGGGGCAAACTATGTGGCAGCAATTAAGCTTGCTACGCACCATGTAGGAAAGATCTCTGGTGGCTTTAATGGTTGTGCAAAAAAAGAGCAATGCAGCAGGTGCATATTTTCTTCCCTGGGCAGTGTAAACACATCTTACTAAAAATCTCCTAAATAATTGTAAAAGGTGGATAATTGTCTCTTGCGTACTGCAGACTGTTCAGATGGATTCATCTGATTGTGAGAAGGAGGCAGGGATAGCAGAAAGGACCTTGAAATGCCAGGGTTGCCTAGTGAAGTTTTTCAGCCAGAGCATGAGAATCGGCCTGCTTTGGAAGGGGCAGAAAATCCGAGACCCAAGAAGAAGGTGATGATAGGCATTAGCTGCCCATTTAGAGGGTCTTTGTCATTCCTACTGGCTTGCCCTCGATCTGCTAGAGCCACCCTGAAGGTGATGTCAGAAACGTTACTAAAATGGAGAGACAGTTTGGATTCCACTCTTTACACGGACAGATGCTTCTCCTTCAACTTTGGTAGAAGTCTGTTAAGACTTTTCTGTAATTGGTTAAGTTTCAGTAAAAGAACTGCACTTCAAAGGATTGCCTTGAATTTAATAACAAGAGAAAAGAGGGAAGGGAGCAGTTCATGACAGCAAGGATACAAGATGCAGGATCTTATATAGCATCTGTTGAGTCTAGGAGCCAGCAAGGTTCAGCACTCTGACCTTGTTTCTCACCAGAGAAGCAAAATAAATGTGGCCCTTTTTATTTGTTGTGCACAAAGGAAATTTTACAAGGGAGAGACACCAGTCCCAAGACGCTCTTGGCACAAGATGCATTCTAGCACTCTGGTTTGCTTCTTGTCCCTGGTACTTTTCAAGGAAGAAACAAAAACAAAACCTCACCCATTGTTATTACAGTGGTAGATTATACAAGAGGATTTCCCTGTTTGTTATTAGAATTAAATTTTAAGTTTATGGCTGCACAGGCTTCTCAGTGACAGTCTTTGTGGATCATTGTTAAAAGTTTGAGTTGATACTCATCATCATATAGTTAATAGACTGAAGAGCACTGAGGATCACTTGAACAGTTATTATCTTTGGACCATGAAAGGATTACTTTCAAACGGAAGCTCTTCAGAATCTGCTGAAAAACACCTTTACTGATTCACAGCCTTAGTAAAAAAAATTAAAAATAAATACAATTAAAAATTAAAAATGCTAGGATGTTTTATTCAGTCAGTAAGGCCATTCATTTGAAAGAACAGCAGGCAGATGGGAGCCAAGAACATGCTGGATACTCAGTAAATGGCACATTGAACCTGGGCCAGAAAAGCAATAAACAAGATTGTCATTGCTTTGACTGGAAAATCGCATTGATATGTCAGAGTTGCTGAGCACTCTTTCTTCTCAATCAAGCTCATATTTCTGTTCTTTTGCAATGCAATCCTACACTTACTGACCTGGGATTAAGATCCATTGAAGTCAATGGAACTTGTATCTGAGCAGATGTGCATAGGATTGTATGGTGAGTTATTTGCAGCAGGACATGGGAGAGGGGCAAACTGCTGTACTTTCTATAATGTGGGGTCTTTCAAGAATTGATTTTACAAACAAGCAAAGATGACAGAATTGGCCATGTTTGCCCTTTTCTGGAAGTGACATGACTAAGTTGTAATAATGGAACATGGGAGTAGTTTGTGCAATGGAAGTAATAGTGTTAGCTACTCCCATTCATTGCAACAAATCTACTCTAAGTAGGACTTACACTGGACACAACCCATTGTGTCCAACCTTAGCCTTAATTTCTTTTTCACCAAATCTGCTTTGATTTTCTTTTTTTAATTTTTAATTTTACTGCTTTGATTTTTTTCAAGCTACATTACAACAAAGTCTTTGTTGTTTTTGGTTCTTTTGGCTGTGTAGAAAGGAAACCCATATAATCCTTGAAGCCCATGTACAAATCAATTTGCTTAGGGACATTTGTGAAGATGCTAAGACCACTTTTTGCTTTCAAAAGATAGAAGGCAGAACCATTTAATATTATATACTACATTCTAGTCTTTGTAGCATGTTCATGTGGTTCACCAAAGTTTCTAAAAGCTACAAAACACATATTGAAACCCAGTTAAAACAATTAATCCAATCCAGTCCAATCCTGGAAGTAGGCATCACTAATGGGTCTTGCTTCTAAGTAAAGGTGCACAGGATCAGGCTGTGTAGCTTGCTTGAATAATTGAAGCAAATAATTCCAAATAATTATGCACAAGTGTGAAAAACCACAAGTGTGAAATCTGAACATGAACACGGGGACCAATAGATTTATCCTGTTTTCATGATTCTAACCGCTTTCCCTTCCCTGGCCCAGATAAGGGACAGAACACTGTTTCTTGTACATTTTTAAAAAAATACAGTTCTCAAAACTTTAAAGGAAACTAACACTTTGTAAAGGCACATTCCCCATTGTGCCTTTGAAAGTATTCCCTGTTTTAGACTGTAGTCCTACAGCTTATCTAGGAGTAATTCCACCTAGGCTGGTGGGGCTTACTTCTGAGTGGACATGTCTAGGATGGCACTGCTTGGGTAATGTCCGGTGTTAGTCCTGCATAGGCTTGACATACTGGAATGAGGGGGATAAAAGATAAGTCTCATTCCTTTCAATGGACCCACGCTATCCAGGACTAACACTGGATATGGCCTTTTGGTCCTTTGTGAACAGTGGTTACATTCATACAGAGTAAGTATTCTGTGGGCTGAAGTACATGGACTGCAATCTGATGCATGCCTACCTTGGATGATGTTCTACTAATATGCGAATGTTGCTCTCGGTTGTAGTCAGTGGATATGGCTATAAGGGTTAATAGGGACCAAACGAGACAAGACACTAAGTGTGACTTTGTATTGAATGTGCACATTAAAAAATATGTGAGCATAGTTTTTGGGAGAACTGATAATTATCGGAATTGCAGCAGGTATGGAGGCTTTTAACACTCTCCTGACAGCTCACCTCCAATAAAAAAGCAGCTTCAAAGACATGCTTTCATGAGGATTAAATTTTTCTTCCCTGCTGGAAGCCCCTGAGTGGCTGCTATTTACATTCTTAAAAACATGCAGTAAATTCATCCACAGATTTAACAGCACATCCAAATTAGGTCCTAAAAGGGATACAAAGGGATGCAAAATCCAGCCCTGCTAGGGTCCCACCATCTTCCCTCTGACTGCCAATTGCTTGTCAGTTTCCCAAATTGTGCAGCTTTCCCCCAAATGCAAAGGCTGAAATACCTCTGCTGAGGCTTAGTTACTGGCAGAATGAACTGTAAGCTCACAGATGCTGCATTTTCCATAAACTGGCCCCTCTCCTTTTGTATCTGGCCTTGCTCACCACTGGATGTGATCCCAAGAGAGTCCAAAAGGGAATATGGTCTCTGGGTTGAAAGTCAACACCCCCTGGATTATGGCGATCAGGCAATCATATGCACAACTCATAACTATATTAAAAGCTTTACAAGAAGATCCAAGCAATATAACAACGTCAACTCTTTGCACTATTAAAAATACTACTGAATATTGCTACAAATTATTATTGTTCGTAAACACAAACTAAATAATGTGTATAAGACATTTTCACTTCCTTCTGAGTTATGGTTATTTTCCTACTGTATCAAAAACATACATTAAGGCTTTTTAAAATATGTATAAATTGTTTATCATCATTTACCATTACTAAACTGCTAATTGATAAGCAAAGAATTCTGTGCAGAGCAGAATGTGTCCATCATTAATTCAAAATCATGAGATCCAAGTAATTACTAGCATGAAGTATCACCTGCCACAGCTTGAGTACAGGAAAAGCATTTCTTTAAATAAAATGGGAGGGGGGAAGGGGAGAGAGAGAGATTAAAATGCTCCATATCCATCACTACGAGTAGCTACTGCAAATGCTGGATAAGGTTCATATGTTGTGTAGGTTGCCAGATCGGGTCCGAGAGTTGCTGCTTGCTTCAGCTGAGTTGCTGGTACTGTTGCTGCATTAGCAATGTATCCTGCAGAGAAATGTGAGAGCAAGCAAACAAGTAAATAAAAAGAAAACACTACCTTACTGTACATCAGAGGGTGTCAGGAATGTGTTATTCTTGCTTCATTTGAGAATAGCATAAACATTGGTTTCCAAGTACTCTAATTTAATTAAGAATGTAGTTTTGGGCATTCTTGTCTTTCTAATAATAATCTGAATGGGCACATATCTCTAGGCATAAACACTCTAAGGAAAAAACACACCCTGTACTTGGTTCAAATAGGTGACCATTTGAGTTTAAGCGAAAGAAAGGATTGTATCTATATTGGCCTGACTTAGACCTGTTAATATGAATAGGACTCGACTTAATGAACTATGCATACACTCCACAGTAGATTACTAGTCATCTAGTCTATCACTTGGGGTACAATCCCATGGCCTTCTCACATTGTATGGGGAGAGTGAAAGTATTTGGGGTCCCAGCTCCAAGCCCTGTGACCTCAGTGCTGGGACTTCAAAGGCCAAACCCCTCACAGCCAGTGCCAAGGGTACTGGGCCACTGCCTCTGCAAGGTTGGAAACTGGACTTGGAAAGGAGGAAAGGGGGTGGCTAGGGAGAGGGAGGGAGGTTCCTGGACCCAAGAACTTACCCTGAACCCAACAGGGCCCCAAGCTCCTTCTCTCCTCCTTTGTGATGCTTCATCTAGATGGCCCAAGCTGGCGTCTAGATGGAATACAAGGTGCAAGGCATGGTGGCCATGAATATCACTGCCATGTGCCTTGCACCATGCCTTGGATGCACATAAGCTGGGAGGCATCCGAGCATTGAGGGTGGGGGTGATGGACGGCAGCCTGAAGGCTACAGGCTGAGACCAGTTTCTCTGCCACAGGATGGGCTGCAGAGCAGTGCAGGCACACGAGTGTCGTGTGCCAAAGGACCCAGGTACAGGCGCCGGCGTCTCCAGGCAGAAGAGGAAAAATGGCTGCCGAGAGTGCTGGAGCCAGTCACTGCCAACAATATCAGACTGGGAAAACCGAAGGTCTGACTCCACAGAAGGCAGCTTTCTGTGTTCCCATTGATGTGCGATCTGAGGAGACATGTGCAGGAGAAGGTCTCCCATGGTTAACCAACAGGTTAAACAAGCCAGGCTAACCCGTGACATTTTCCTGCCGTGGCCACAGTGGCAGCCTGCACCAGGTCAGGGTGGCTTCTGTCCAAAGGTCATTGCAATTAAGCTTTTTTGCCCCAGAAGCAGCAGATCCTATGGCTGAAATAAATGTTAGAGCCAACAATTTGCCACACGCCCCGAAATCAGGGACAAGACGAGGAACTCGGTGAAAAAGAAGGGCTGGGGTCCAACAAAGATTGTGGGCTGGTGGGGAGTGATTTAATTACGTATCACACACAGCCCCTTGATCTTCTGGTTTAGGAACTGGAGAGGGGATGTGTACAGCCAAGCAACTCCCTTTCTGCAATGACCTTGACTACCAGAAGTACTTCTGTCTTTCCTCTTATGGGCGTGGATTGAAATATAAGGTTTCCCTAGGTATGTTGCATCAGGAATGATCTGAGCAACACTGCAATGAGAATCTAACATATGGATGGCTTTCCTTTGTTGTTCAGGGGCCCACATACGGCTAGAACATAGACAAGTAGCTTCCGAACTGGATTAGTCAGTGGGAAATATATTGGTAGCCTTGCTCTGTCTGACTTACAGGCGTCTTGAGTTCTCTACATAGGCAAGTGTCCCATACCAGGCAGTTCACAGCTTTCTCTGATAGGCAGCACAATCCTTTATTTGATTCGCTTACCTGCAGTGCTTTTAAGCACATAGGATCACACTGTGCTGGCACTTTATTGACACACTACAATCCAATACGAGTTCTGGGAGGATTGGATTGTACTGTGACAGTAAAGGACTTTTCGGCCTGATGTCTGATGTATATTTGTGGCCCCATGCAGCCACCTGGGACCGCAAATATACCCCACCACCAAAACCACTGCCACCACTGCCAGATTACTGCCCAGTGGCCTTTTGGGGGTGCTGCACTGAGTTCAGTGGGACCTATTCCCATGTCATATGCCCAGGACTGCAGCCTTAGCTTATGTTATTTTGCCATATATTTATAAGACCCTTCCTTACATATTTTATATAGAAAAGTGGCAAATAAGTGAAATGTAAATAGATTGGGTCTAGATAAGGCAAAAGCAACTGTTCCGGTGATACAGCCCCCTCCCACCCATAGTAGCTCCTCCGCCCCCCCCCCCAAATGCTTTGGGTTGGGGGAACTTGCTCAACAGGGTGGGGGATTGCCAGAAATTAGCCAACAGCCTTCCATGAGCTGAGCTCTTTCCATTATGCCAGTTGCCCAGACCTGAACGCAGAGCCAACCCAATGTAGTTATTTAGCCAGCACTGCTATCAAGATAACCTCTCCCCCATTCGTACCAGCTCAAACACACTTTTCTGCCAGGAAGATGCAATGAACTCAATGGGCCTTTCTTCTGGCTACACATAGGGCTGGCTGGGGCATGCTGGGACTTATAGGCCTTCCTAAACTTGGATAGGACTGTGCCCTTAAATACGTTTTTCAATTAGCTTTGTTTTAACAACAAATATCTAGACATCTTCAGTCCAAGGAGAGGGGGGAATGGAGCCATAGTTCAGAATGATGCATTTTATATTAACTTTGGTGAGTATAAGAGACTGCATTTTACTGGATTAGCAGAGCCACCTGAATTGGAACAGACAGCTTCCAAGTTATAATATAAGGGTAGGTGAAGGTCATTGTAATTAAGCACTAAATGGTTCTGGGTTCAATAAAACATCAGTGTGTCTTACATAATGCGGAAGCTTGAATAAACCTAGACAAATTGATTTTTCTCTGTGGCAGGAAGCTGGATGGATTTTACATTTTTTAAAAAGCTCTGATGTTCCTGAATAATTCTATATTAATCAACTGTACTGATTGGTGTATATTTCCAGTAATGTAAAAGAAAGCAGCATTGTTAAAGTAGTCCAACAATGGTGCAGAAAGTTTTTGTTGCACCAACTGTAAATGGAATTGATGTCTTGGTTCTATATATCCCTTTGTTTCCATATTATGCCTTTTGCACATTGCTGAGACTGAATAAAGGCTAAGACTGTATAAATTAAGTTAATAAGCTATTCTAATGGATTCATTCTTATGGGTGTTATCTTATGTATGTTTGAACAGAAAAATACATGTCCAGGATTTTTTTTTGCTTGTACATGTATAGGATTTTGCCCTAATTAGGATTATGCCCTAGTATACTATCAGCTGGTCAATATGCCTACAGCATGTAATTCCTATGGTTGTTTCCTCCCCGTGAAATGACTCGAATTTTGAGTTCCGAAGAGACTGTGATACTGAGCTCCAGAATTCCTTGCTCTCTAGAGAATTCTTTCCATATGGGCATTCACTGGACCACTTTCTTTTTGGATTATCTTGGGTGAGGTAGGAGATCTGTACTAGTCAGTGGCAGCTCCGAATCATAAAGGTCTATATTAGAAAGCTGTGTTGGAAAGTAAAACCCTGTGGGATGCATTCTTCAAACAAACATCGGGATTTGTTGCATTCCAACACCCAATGGTTTGGCTTCACGTCGTCCATGTGACCCATCCCTCTGGCCATCTTTGAGGGTTCAGAATAGTTCTGGGGTCCCTGGCGATGTGCTGCTGTTCTTGTTAGTAACTGCTGCTCTCAGGATATGTGGGACTTCGCATTCCATCAGCCCTGGACAGCTTGGTCAATGGGCAGGAATGTTAGCAGATGCAGTCAAAGCATCTGGGTGACAACGGCCTGCAAAGGGCTGCCATCAGGAGAGCTGTGCTGGATCAGGCCAAAGGTCCATCCAGCCCAGCATTCAGTGACCAACCAGAACCTCCAACTCAGAGCTCTTTTGTTTCAGCATGGGACCAACTTATGGTCTCTCACAATTGAGTTCTTTTTGCTGGGCCCAGCTAGCTGGGACCTCAGCACTGAGTCCAGGGATCGGGACCTCTTGTGTTCTTCTTCTCACAATCAGGACTCCCTTTCCCCCTCCATCTTTCCCCTTCCTTCTGGATTTCCTCACTGTCTCCTCTCTTTCATAAATTCTGCAACTGTTGACTTCATCGTTTGTTTTGGTTACCTTTCACTTTTAAGCCTTGTCTATCCTCTGCAATTGCCTACTAGGGCCCCTGGACCACCTCCTCCTCCTCCTCCTCCTTCTCTTCCTCCAAAGACAAGATGCCTCCCTGGCCCCAGCAGCCTGTGACATGAACAGAAGCCTGCTCAGGTAGGCAGATAGAAGCCACATTAACCCTGGTGCAGCACCAGCACTGGTGTAGATACTGGTGCAGATGCGGCCTGCCACACCTGAGGACAGCAGCCTGCCTTGGAGCACAAGTTGGGCTGTGCAGCACACACAGCCCCAGAGCCTTCTCACTGATGTCTGAGCGCTATCCACTGGGCAGCACCATCATGCCCCTCCTGAGCAAAGCAGTGAATGTAAATGAACTCAATGGATTCTTCTCGGAATGTGGCCCAAGCCAATGTGGCTTCTTCTGTTCTTTGCTCGCTTGCATGACCAGAAGCCTTTCCCAACCACATTCCCTGTGATGCCCTCAATGGCTGGATTCAAGGCTCACATCAGAAAAATGGGAGGAACTGGTGCAGGTAGGGGCATGGGCAAGAGAAATGGCCAGGCTGGATTCAGGAGGAATAAGTGAGGGAGTATTTTCCATCCCTAACATCTACAGTCCAAGGTATCCAACCCCTGAATGCTAGGGCTGGCCTGGTCCTCATCCTTGACTTCATCCTGGACCACATTCAGGTCCTCTCTTGGATGGCTCTCTCATCTCACCTCCCTCACAGGATGCTGGGGTGATGCTCAGGTATCCTAATTCTTTTGCCTACCCTAATTATTTCCCAGGAATGTAACATTATTTGCCTTTAGCTGATAGACCCCATTCCTGCATTTAAACAGTACTTTTGTTCATGACATCAGGGAGTCTGAAACATGCTGAAATAGTCTCTCTGTGCAAAAATCTCTCTATGCATGTCTATTGGAGAGTATTTTTTACAATCTAATCTGTTTCTGTAAGCTCAAAGAGCACAGCTGTCCTGCTTGGGTTGGCTGCTTTTTTCTGTGCTCTGTGGCAGGGAGAGGCATGCCATCCTAGCAGCAGCCAAAGCAGTTTGATGTTGGTGACACAACTGCCAGCACAACAGGCGTGCTTTTTCTACCCTTCTGTGAGGTCTTTTGCACAGGTGCTGCAGGGTTTCGGCATATTTTCAATCTCAGCAGGGAAAAGTCGTTTTCTCATTTCAGGGACAGAGATGACGGCAGACACAGCTGCAGTGCGTGTTTGCACTGAGATGGAAGATGAGCCATTTGCTCCTCAGAACAATGTTGCAAATGAATTTAAACATGCCTGATTTAAAAAACCACAATGAAAAACACATGAAAAATAAATGCATGTGCCTATTTAGAAAATGCACACAGTTCAAGGCTTCCCCTTCATCAGCATTGCTTCTTAAGCTTGTATGTAAATACATCATGCAATGAAAGCCATTTGAGTTGCATGGGAGAAACTGCACAAAATTCCAGTGTACCTACCATCTGAGTTGCTCACCAACTTCAGAAAATGAATGCTTTGGATGTGAGTGCTCAGCCCACATTGAGACGGTTTATGGTAGTGAACAGAACCTGTCCATGAGTCAAACAACTGATTCACCACAGGTAAATAAGTGCCACAAGCAGTATGGTTTGCGCATTGGCTCTAAACTGAGACAGTCTGTAATCTTTGCCTTTCCACCATTTAAACATTGGTAGAGGAGCAAAATGCCACCTTTCACCATAATTTTAACTACCCTGACCACATGACTAGGATTATATGCCCATACCAGAACTATAATAGATGTGCTATTTATGTTTTGCCTCAATGAACAGAAATTTCATTAAGTTGTTTTCCCCCACCCATCCTCTATCCCCTGGGCCAAAATACATATTACATTGCATCTATAGTGCGTTGGTGATCCTATATATTTTTTAACATTTGTGTAAGTGTATGGCACCCTGATTGTGCATGGAGAGAATGCTAAGCCCCAGTCACTTACTTCATTCTTCTTCCTCCCTCCCCTGTGCATGGGGGCTAAAGAAAGACAGACAGAAAGACAGACCAAGGTCTGTTTGGATCAGAGCCCCATATGCTTAGGCAAGCCTAAAACAAAAAGTGATGATTGTCTACATGTACATTTAATGCAGCATGTACTTCAGCTTCCATTTGTGGTTCAGGGGAGGCACCCTGGAGATCTCCCTTGGCTCGAAAGTGTCACCGTTTGAAGCCCAATTTGTTCACTCAGTGAAACTGCCATGCAATTGACTGCTTGAAATGCTCCTACATGTGTCAAGTCACTAGTGTAAACAGCATTCATGTGTTCATGCTCATTTCTGGCTCTATGATGGCACCTTGCGAGGAATGGAAGCTGGCAAAGGAGTGTGTGCGCGGAAATTGCATGTCTGGCTGCTGCGCATGGACTCTTTGCCAAGTGGAGGAGGCACCTCCATGAGGTTCCATGTTTAAGTGATTCTGATGTGCTTGACTGCATCTGTGAACTGGGATTTAGTTTCTCTAGAGCACTTTGCTCAGTGTTGACATGTTCACTCTGTGATCATGCCAACATCTGGTTAATTATGCCAAAGACATGATTTACGCCTCCTGTGTTAAACTATGTCAGGCTCTCAAATTTTACCTTTAGTCTCAACATCAGAATACTTTCACTTTTGTTAGTTTACTTGTGGTTTAAGCCAAACCTGCCAAGTCAGACTCCTCCCATCGATGGGAAATTATGCCCATTCAAATTTCCATTCCATGGCTTAGACAAATCATTAACACTTGTTTTGAATAAATATGCCTTCTTTCAAACCACCTCACTTGAACTTTTAATGATGCCCGTGTGGTTAAGCTGTTAGACCATCAAATAGTTACCAAAATAAATGGGGGTGTATGAAATGAAGACTATAAAGTGAAGGAACTAAGGGCCAAATTAAATGTTCAGCTAATGACACATATTGTAAATATACAGGGATCGTTCTCCTTGTTCTTGGGTGAGTGGACACAGCCCCATTTGGATTCAGGCCACAGTGCTCTGGTAGACTTTGCTTCCCTTGCTGTATCAAATCTTACATTTATTCAGGGCCCCCAAAAACTATAGCAGCTTTTCAGGGCAAAGGAAAAGCTGGCAGTGAGAAACTTTCCTTCTGTGAACTTCCTTAAGTTAACCTAGCTTAACTTAACCTCAAGGCTAGAGCAGACTTTACCTTGCTGTCTAGCAGCTGCATTCCACCCCCACCTCCAAGATCCAAGAGACTTTGCCTCTCCCCGGCCCCACACCATTCCATCCAGCCATGTTATGTGCACGTGCATTTAAATAAGGGGGGAGATCCTATTGGAGTCAAGAGAGATGATACCTCATTTTTTAAATCCCTGGGTGGATTTTTTTGTGGGGGAGATGTGGGAAGGAAGCTTTCCTTCAGCTTCGGCTGATTAATCAGCTGCGCCCCTACCTGGAGTACAACTGCCTGGCAACGGTGACACACGCGCTGGTGACTTCCCGCCTTGACTTCTGTAACGCGCTTTATGTGGGGCTTCCCTTGAAGACGGTCCGGATACTACAATTAGTTCAAAATAGAGCTGCCAGGTTGCTGACGGGGACGGGGCGTTATGTTCACATGACTCCAGTCCTCCGACAGCTTCACTGGCTTCCCATTGAAGTCCGGGCCCAATTCAAGGTGTTAGTTATGACCTATAAAGCCCTAAACGGCTTGGGTCCTGGTTACCTGAAGGAGCGCTTACGTCCATATATGCCCACCCGCCCCCTGAGATCTGCGGGAGAGGCCCTTCTCCAGGAACCCTCCATGAAAGAAATTAGGAGGGTAGGTACTCGGAGGAGGGCTTTCTCTGCAGTGGCGCCCAATCTATGGAATGCGCTCCCCAGAGAGGTCTGCCTGGTGCCGTCGTTATTTGTTTTTTGGTGCCAGGTGAAGACCTTTTTATTTAAACGTCATTTTAATTGCTAACAATATTTGCTTATTTATCTGGCCAGGGCAACTTCTTTTATATTTTATATTTTTTATTTATTTTATATTGTTAATTTTAATTTGATATTGTTATTTTTGTATTTTATTGTATTTTATTGTGTTGTAAGCCACCCCCAGGCTTCAGCAAGGGGCGGCATAGAAATGTTCTAATAAATAAATAAATAAATAAACCTCCTCCCTGTCTTGGAACACTGCGGTCCAAATCTGAATGAGGGCTGTACATGCTCATGAAAGAGTAAGGTGTAGCCATGCTATGCATGATCAACCGAACATTTGGTTTGGTCCAGAAATACCACTGAAGATAGAAGAATTAAAAGTTGGCTTACTTAGGTGCCTTTAATAGGAAATTAGGGATATAATGCTACACACCAGAGTGCTGAGCAGGGCCGATCCACCCCAGCTGTAGCCCTGATCCAGCCTTCCAGGTTTTGAGGTAGTTATTTGATAGTTTTCCAGCTTTTGCAGTAATTGTGCTATTCTAAAAAGGGTGAAGTACATCTCCTATGGCAATAAAAGCTGCATTCCAGTGGCAGCAAATGGAAAAGTCAAAGGCAGGGGGATGCCAACATTCCCAAAATATAGAAATATTTCAGCTTAAATCTCTCACTGCCAGTAAGTGAGCTTTAGTCACAATTTTGGAGATGCTTTGGTAGAGTGTATTTGGTTCCCAGGCTGAAACAGGTTTGATACACAGTTACTTAGAATTAACCAGCATTGACAACAGAACTACATCTGAGTAGACATAACATAGGATTGTGCTGTAAACAGTTTTAAAAAGAAAATTACACAGATCCCAAATTAAGCTAATTCAAGGAAGTTCCTGAACTAGATTTGCTTCCCTTGCTGTATCAAATCTTACATTTATTCAGGGCCCCCAAAAACTATAGCAGCTTTTCAGGGCAAAGGAAAAGCTGGCAGTGAGAAACTTTCCTTCTGTGAACTTCCTTAAGTTAACCTAGCTTAACTTAACCTCAAGGCTAGAGCAGACTTTACCTTGCTGTCTAGCAGCTGCATTCCGCCCCCACCTCCAAGATCCAAGAGCAGGTGAAGGTTCATGCACATTTATCAGGATTCTAGTATGATCGGTTGGGGACATGATTTTAAGGCCTGAACTGAGCCCCCTACAGTTGCTTTAGTTTAGAAATGAGTGATGGGGGAATGTAGCTGTTAGATGCTGATGTAGGACACTGCCTCTCTGGTCAAAGCCTGTATAACTGGTACATACCTGGAAACGCTGCTGCAGCAGGGGTGTCTGCTCCCTCCACGGGAATGCCCAAGGTCTGAAGAGTATATTCTGCAGCATAGGTTTTGGCTTCATCTACATAGGCACTTAGCTTGGGTGGTGTGAAGGGTTGCCTATGAATCAGTTGTATTATCCATATATAAAAATAACAAGAAACAGCAGTTAGCCACTGACACCGTGGAAAATACTACCAGTTGGCAAAAACATGTTAACAGTGGAGTGGGCATGACTGTGGGTTAGCACAGTCTTGCATTAAGGATGCTATTCTAAGCACATTTACTAGGAATCAGCTCTGTTGAAAGCAAACATCTGCTTTCAGCATTCATGGTGTGATTACAATATTTTCTCTCACTGCACACAAATTAGTAGCCCAGGGGAGAAAGTGGTGGGTTTGGGACTAGCACCGAACAGTAATACCAGCTCTGGAAGAAGTGGCACGATCTCCAGGATGCCCTGATCTGCCCTGTCTCAACTCTGAGTTCCCTGGGCGGCTGTGGCGTTCCCTCCATGTGCCTTTCATACGCTTCTGATCTTCAGGCCAGGGAAGAAATGGGCAAAATGCATGGGCCCCATTGCAGCCCCCACTACCCAGTGCAACAACCAATAATCCCCCCACTCCACACACACACACCTCACAAGAAAAAAAAAATTGATGAAAAGAAGGGGCCTTTGGAGCAGTACAAGGAACCAAAGCAGTGAAATCAAATTTGATTGCAAGCCAGAGCTGACCCTTCTAGGCAGCTGTGACACCTGCGGGAAGGACACATCGAACAAGCACAAAGCCGCAATGTTGAAGCAAACCAAATGATTAAAGCCAAACATTCTGTTGTCGTCATGTGCCATCAAGTCATCTCGGACATACGGTGACCCTCCCAGCCTCCTATAGCTGCATATGGTTTTCATGGAACTACAGAGGCATAAAGTTTGCTGGGCCATTTTGGCTCGATCTCTTCCCACCTGCCCAATCAGGGCTGGTAAGCAGAATTCATATCCTGATAATAAATAGCATTTAGTTCCTTACATATTGCAGATACGTATCCATGTCACTATAGTTTTCTGGTTGCTGCCAAGTTGGAAGGATGGCAACAGTATGGCTGTGGGACTGGTAAACACATTGAATAAGTGCTTCCATCCCTGCTCTCCCCAAGGTGTCCCAGTCCATGAATTAAACCCAGTAAAGCAACAGTTACGCACAGAGTATGGTTTTGACTGGCAAGAGCAGGAACTGTGATTTTATATAAGAACAGCTGTCTTTGGTCTTGTCCAATAGCAGAATGAAGCTGGTAGATGGGCTGCCCCCAGTTATTCTTCTGGCAGATCTCTTCTAATACCTAGAATGAATATTGCATTCTGTGACGATAGAATATATAATTGCAGTATTAAAGTTATTGCCTACTATTCCTTCAACAGAGTATACCAAGAGGGGCCTGCTTCAGTATAGAATCTGCATTTACAAGATAAGCATCTGATGGTCCAATTTGGTGCTTGTTTCACCAGTATTCATTGTATATATTTGAATAACAATGAGGGTAGGGCTTTTTCTGTGGCGGCTACCTGACTATGGAATTCCTTCCCAGGAATACCTGTTTGGCACCCACTTTTCTTATTAGGCTCTGGAAAACTGAACAGATGAAACTATCAGAGTTACAATGGACAAGTTCATATGTCATGCTAATCACTAACAATCATTTTTTGTTTGCTGAGATGATTGGGCTCACCATAGGTTGCCCCCCATCTTCTACCTCAGTTCACGACCTTTTAACCCAGGGTACTTGATAGCGAAAGTTGCCTGAACTCTTCTCCTTGCTGAAATTAGAAGTCCTTTTGGGTTGCCATGGTTTCCCCTCTTCTTTCTCCCCTCTTTTTGTCAGAGATCATGTTTTGCAATCTTCACACCAGCCATCAGTGACACCCTCTTTAAAGTGCTCAAGCAAGACACCAGGGAGACTGTAACTGGTTTGCCATCCCTTTTTAAATTATTGTAAAGTGCAATAAATCTGCACACTTTTTGTACCTTAAAAAATTAGCCAGACTTGTGTAAATGTAAAGGTGTGCATTTGCAGGGGTCCCAGTGGGCAGCCTCCCCTGGACAATGCCCTGGGACAACAGGTTTTTGCTCTCAAAGTGGAGCAAGCATCCACCTTGAACATTGATCCAGAGAGGATGCAAAGAAGTCAGTGGTTCACTTTGATTTCCTCTGACATCTCGCAAAAGGTGAACTGTCAAGGAAGAGCAAACCCCAAGGGATCTTTGGTCACAAAAAGGAATGGCCAGTAGATTAGTGAGATCCTCTAGTTTTAGTGGTAGATCTGAGTGTCATCACACGTTTTCATCCATTCCTCAGACACAAGGTGCTCAGGAGAGTGGAAAGCATGTGCCCTTCCATCTATGGGAGGACAGAGTTTGACAGCTAGCTGTCAGAATTCAGACTTCCCTTTAAAACAGGGGTTTTGGCAGGGTAGCCAGGATTTCTTGCCAGGGACGGAGATATATATGTATGCATATCTCCCTGACAAAAGACGCTGCCCTGTAAATGGGGTGGCTCACAGTTTTCTTCTTTTCCAAGCACCCAGTGTGTTTGGAAGGGGTAAAAAAGTGCAAGGACAAAGGAAACACTCATGTCCATTCAAAAAAAAACCTAGAGGATCTCACTGAAAAACTGATGAACTACTGGCCATCTCTTTTCATAAGCAAGGTCTCAGGGGTTGTCACTGGCTTTCAGCCTGGAAACCAAGGAAACAGCCATGGCAAATAGAACATGATGGCTGCTCCATCATGTCATTTGGGCATTGGTGGGATGGCTGTAACAGGTTAGGTCAGAGCAAAGTCAGCAAGAGTGGCATGTGGTTTTGGTTTTGGTTTGTTTCTGCTGCTTGTTAACCACTTCCCACAGCGCATGATGAGACTAATTTTCCTGCATTTGGATGACACAACAACTTATCATGGGTCCAGTAACCCCTGAACTAAATAATGGGTTTTTAGGGTAGATACATAGAATCATAGAATAGTAGAGCTGGAAGGGGCCATGAAGGCCATTGTGTCCAACCCGCTGCTGTTGCAGGACACCAAGTTGCACCATCCCACTCAGAGGGCTGCCCAGCTTCTTTTTGAATGTCTCCACTGTGGGAGAGCCCACCACCTCTCTAGCCAGCTGGTTCCACTGGCGTATTGCTCTGACAGTGAGGATGTCCAGCCTGAATCTGGGTTGTCACAAATTGAATTGATTATTCCGTCTCGTACACTCAGGCATCCTCATGAAGAGATCTTGACTTTCCTTTCTGTGACAGCCTTTGCAGTATTTATAGAGGGATATCATGTTCCCCCTCAGACTAAAAAAGCCACACTTCAGGAAGGGGTCTGAGTTCACATGACATGACAACCCACTGTGGCTTGTCACCCATGATAAATCATTGCATTATTCCCACCCAGCCAATATGTAAAGGATGTGCCTGTGTGTATGTGTGTATGCACACACACACATTATATTTACAGGGAAGACACAGATCAACTTCAGGAATGATTTTTCTGTGTACCTCCTTGCAGATCTAGAGCTACTGACAGTTCTGTCTTCTACCCACCTGTGAAGCAAGCTTAATTCCTTGTGGCTTTAAACTGACATGATTCATTGGTGTAAGTTCCATTCCTGGCAAAAGGTCATACAGTTTTTCTTCCCCACGTTTTTCTCCTTTGAGCTGGTATCCACGCCCCAGAGCAGGGTTAGCCAAGTAGCCACGGCCTCCTAGTCCTCTAACTCCAGCAGCCCCTACAGGTACATTCATGTAAATTTCTAGGAATGTAAGAAGGTATTAAACTGAATCAAATCACATGAAAATCTCCCTGATTCTTATTGTATTGGAAGGCTTGAATCCATATACTGATACTTGATTCAGAGATTGAAGGGGGAATTGGCCCAGTTCAGGCAGGCAGATTTTGGCAAAATTTGGCATTTTTTCCTTAGACAATAACATTTCTTGTGCTGTCTCTGTTGCTTTATGTTTATGGAATATAATTCATTGAAAAGTAGCAAAACACAGAGCATACAATCCCTTTATTGTCTTTCAAGGGGATGCTTATGGATATGAGCAAGTACCAATTGGGTATAGGGCTGTATTGTTCCAACTTCCATTGTATCTCGTGGGCTTTTTGTTATTTTAGTATCTGCAGTTTTAGCCTACAAGCTTCAGGCTCCCTCCCCCACCCTCCACTTTTAATGTTTCAGTTTAGAAAACATGGCGGACCAGGGAATTGCAGTCTACTTCAGTGTATATTCACAAGGTTTTTACCCACAATGTCTAACAGTATTGCTTTTGAATTTCAGCAATGCCATTATTAATATCAGCCAAATCCTCATTTTGTGAAATTCATGAGGATACTTTGATTAGAGAACACAAATTAATTTGAAATTACCATCACTACTTATCTTTTCTGTTTGACTTAATATGATGCTTCCTTTTTCATTGAATTTGGGCTCAAATTATCATGTGTGTGTGTGGGGGGGGGCAGTGAATGGGGACACATTTCTACATAGATTTATATTCAGTGGATAACATAGAAACATAGAAAACAGAGCGAGTCAGAAGGGGCCTCCTGGGCCATCTAGTCTGACCTCCGGCACCAGCCGGCTGCGATCACAACATGCCCACCATGTGGACATCCAGTCTATCCTTGAACACCTGCACCGATGGGGCCTCAATGACCTCTTGTGGAAGCCCATTCCACACCCTCGGGGTCCTGACTGTCAGGAAGTGCTTCCTGGCATTCAAACGAAACCTTGGCTCCCTGAGCTTTGCTCCGTTGGAGCGCGTCCTGCCTTCCTCTGCAGGGGAGAACAGGTCTCTACCCATCTCCATGTGACAAATGTGATAAATATCAATAGCAACAAATTAGGGTGATCAATGTTCACTGGTATAAAATTAAACTTCTCATTTTTGGTATATGTATCTGATTGACCCCATTCTTACTAATACTGAAACAGAAAGCTTTGCTCACTATCAACCCCATTCCTATCACACATTCTAGCTAAGTCACTCCAGATGAAATTATATATGGTAAGGGATTAAAGAATAGTCCATTTGTATTTCACCTCTGAATTTTTCAACACCTAATGACACACAACAGAGTGAGAAAGTTCACACGACACTTCAGCTTATTAAGCTGTACATTCTGGCATCTTTGTCCCAGGGGCCTCAATGTGCCCAACAGAATGAATCACATCACAGTTGACTGAATTAGTTAAACCATAGCTTATATGCATTAGTTTAAAACAACAGGCTCATCCACAGTGACCTTCTAGCCATCATGGCTTGGTCTGTTGTGCAAACCTAGTCAATAACTCAGTTCCTACATGTATTTATTTGATTTCTATCCCACCTGTTTAAAAGAACTCAAAGCAATTTACATCACTGTCCTCCTCCTCTCAATCTTATCCTCACAGAAACAACCCTGTGAAGTACTGGCCTAAAGTCACTCAGTTGGCTTCATATTTCAGCAGGAACTAGAACCTAGATTGCCCTGAGTTCCACTCCTGCACTTTTAAATATTACATCACACACATGACAAGCCAAGATTTTTTTTTACCATTGTTGGGCTGTCTGAACCCAACATGGTATTTCACCATGATAAGTTTGGCCTTTATGAACCATGATTAAGAAACAATGATTTGTTCCATGGTTTCTCCCTACCACCATGGCTTAACATGTTGTCTGAATCCAGGATCATGGTTTCCATGATCCTGCTGTGCAACGACTGCAGATTTCCCTGGGAAGAGCAGCAATGACATAGCCATCCTGCCCCTATGTACAGACCAATAAGGAAGAAGCAGAAGGCTAGGCAAGGAGTGACGCACCTTGGGATTTAATTTCAGGCATAGTGGCTGGGATACATGGCAACAGGGGAGATATTAGAGGGAAGGGCGAAAACTATTATAAGATAGAAAACACTTGATTGTCTGTCAGGTAGATCATGGTAAAAAACCATGATGAACCATGATAACTACACAGGGTGGCTTGACGTGTTGTGGAAAGCCACCAATGTGTGATCTGATTCCACTGAGCATCATGAGGTTTGAGATAACATGAATGTTCTGTCCATTATGCTTGATCTGTGGTGACATAGTTACACATTAGGGTAACCATTTGATGCTGTAGTTGCAGTATGTATGAATTTGCAGTTGTTTACTTCATTTGAACTTCTTAAATCTTTTCCATCAAAACACATCAGTGGAATTTAGAACTTAATCCTATTGGCTACTTAAAGTAATAGGATTACAATCTGAATGGGGTGCAAAGAGAGTGAAGAAAGAGTGGAAGTCTCCCTGTATAGATTACACAAGAGTAAAACCAAAAGAAGCTGAAATGATTATCCAGCTGTGTCATTCCTGAGATGAGCTATTTGTACCCAGATTGCATAATCTCAGATTCTTCATGCAACTCTATATTCATTTGGCTAAAACTGGCCCATACATTAAAATGTGTGGAATTAGAAGAGTTATAAGTGGAACTGGAAATATTGATGACTGTGTGTTTGTGCATGAGACAGAGAGAGAAAGGGAGATAAATTTAAGGGGAACCACCATCCCTTGACAAATCATTTAAAAAGGAAGGATGTGGCACAGGTCAACTTAAAATTGCTTTTGGCACATTGCAGAAATACAAAGCTGCTGACTGCCTCAGTGGCTCATTCCATCAAAATAGCAATTCATATGGTTTAAGGATACATGGGGCAAGCAATATATGCTACATGGTACATTCAGGGCAGGACTTTGGAGCATATGTCCAAGGCCACACTGAGCAAACTGAGCCAAATTGTCCTATTTTGAAAAAAGTAGAATAATAAGCATTCCCACCTAAAGTGCTGCCCCCTGCATCAGTAAGACCAATGGGCCAGACTTTAAAATTATGTAGCTTCACCACTGCTCTCATAATGTGGTTCCACAGTCTGCTGGGATAGACAACTGTGTAAAGGAAAACATTTTAGAAAGACTTAAGCTCCGAGACCTTCCATATCGGTCTGCTTTCAAGCATGATTCAAAGTATCGCTGCTTGCCTTTTAAGCCCTGTGTGGCCTGAGTCCAGGCACTGGGAAGAGGGCTGGTTCCAACCCGCCTGTACACCTCGGCCATCAGGGGAGGCTTTCTTCTGGTGATCTTCACATTCTGAAGCAGGGTAAGTGGCCACCAAGGAGAAAGATGACATTATTTTCCTTCAACGATCACCCTACTTTCAAGCCATGGAAGATTTAAACAAAACTCCCCCAGACATCCATTGTATGGCTGGCTCATAGTCTACATTTGCAGCAAGCAAGAATAGCTTAGTATATTTACCTCGAATGGATGGAGGCCTGATCAGGCCCCTGTTGGTGAGATGTCCTTTAGCAGCAGGAAAGTGAAGGTTGGGAATAGCAGCATAAGCTTGAGGTGCGTAGAATACTGGTGCTCCCAGGTAGGCTGTAGCAGGGTCATACACATGCCCCAGAGTATACGTATACTCTGGCAGCATGGCTCCTCGGCCTCCCGTGCCCCTTGTGTATCTGACATAGCTGTCTTTGTCTACTGGCTTGGCCAACGTGACCTCAATGGGAGAGCCATCCAGCACCTTAAAACAAAAAAGGAGTAGAGAGAGGGAAAGGAGACACATGGGTGCATGCACGATGATGTAGAACTATAGCCCACTTTTTAATAGAGCCCTCAAAGTAGCTGCTGGTATTTGCTAAATACAACAGCTACAGCGGAACTGTATTGTCAGTGCAACTCCAACTGCACAGGAGCTGATCTGATGTTCCTACAGAGCAGCTGATGTCATTTGGGCCTGGGGAAGGCAGCTGTCCAACTGGAGCAGGCTGTTCTGTTCACTGCAGTCTGCATTTTTATGTCAGATACTGAACTCCCCCAATCCGGGACAAGAGAACTTGAAAGAATGCCTCCTCCTCCTCAGTAATGCAAAGTCCCAGTAATTCAAGGTCATGGGGAAGCCTTTTCTCATTTCCCATCTCATTTCACTCATGTAGAAGGTCACTTGCTCTGCATTCCTGTAACAGCAGATACATACAGGTATATACCAAAAGGAATGGAAAGCAAGTCTCAGGATGTTGAAAGGAAAAGAAGAGTTTTATTCTATGCAGTAATCAAGTATATTTTGCAGGATTCCTTTTGGAGACAAACCTTGCAGAGATCTCTAGAAGCATTATTTGGAGAACTGTCCTCTGAAAAAGGCCCAGTTATATGATACGAGGCTCAAACACATCGGGCTCTTTCAAACAAGGAAACAATACGTGTTTCTTTACCCTCTGGAGAGATAATTTCATTCTCTTGGGTTTATTTTAAAGTCTTCCAGTTGTTGTTTTTTTTTAATGGTGGCATTGGAGTAAATACCCTCTGGAAGCTCCTGTCATATGGCTGTGTGCGCCGCTGCCATGCCAGCCCTGTGCTTCTGATGTGCACATCAGGCACATGACGGGGTCGGTCCACGAGTCCGGTGGCAGCCCAGTGCTACATGACGCCATCACCACTCGAGGGAATGCCTGGGCTCACGAGACAAAAACTGGCCTCCCACTATTTCCTTCAAGCAGACCGCACACGCTCGAAGTGCAACAGCTTAGGCTGGTGCTTTGCTGTTTGAACATTTATGAAACTATAAATAGCAAGCACGCTTTTAGTTTTACTATAATGGTGTTCCAGACATCTGAAGAGCCAAGCTTTAACAATGTATCACAGATTTCCATGGCCAGAATATCACTGCAGTGCAAAACCCAAACATTCAGGTCAAACCCTCTGGCCAGCCTTTTATTGTTGGCATGTGTGCGCTCGGGCGGGCGTGCACACACACACACACACACACACACACACACACACACACACACACACACCCCCCAATCACATACATACCTACCAGCATCGTGAAACCCTATTGTGCTATATACAAGCAACCTTGTATATGCCTTTCAGCAAATGCTAAACCAGTCCAGCCTTACCTTCCCATTTAAGACTTTCATGGCTTCCACTGCATCTTCTCGGTTATTAAAGTGCACAAATGCATAGTCTCTGATTTTCTTTACTCGCTCCACTGCCCCTGTAGAACAAATTTGGAGGTTAGGTCTGTCATGGATATTGCTTGAATGGAAAGCATGTGCTTATGTTCTGTCCTTGGGCATTGATCTTTCACTCTAATTCAATTATTTTTTATTATTCTACAGTAAATAAATATTAGATCCTGGCACTACAGACCATGAACCACTTGGCTGTTCTATTTGTATTTATTTATACTGGCTTAGTAATGTGCACTTTTGAGTTTCCTTTGGTCCATTGCGGTCTGATTATGGCTGCTCTGGGATTTGGAAGTAGGTTACTAAAAATTAGTATGATAAACCCCTTTGCACATGTCCTATTCTGCAGAGTGAGAGGAAGTATCATGCAGGCATAAAGAATCCACAAAGTGCATGTGCAAACCTATCTGTTGTGATTCAATTGTTTGTGGTTTTGGCCTGGGCCAAGTAACTTAAGGAAGGCCAGGTGTTTTGTTTTGTTTTATTTTTAAAATATTTATAATTTTCACTTGATGTTTACAACCCCCCAACAAAACCAACATCTGTGAAAAACTGCTGAGAATAAAAAAGAACGGTAGAACCACAAACACATACCCAGAAAAAAGGGGAAAACAAAAGAAGCAAAACACCAGCTGCAGGTTAGACACAAGGAAGAACTTCCTAACGGTCAGCAATAGGACGGTGGAACCAGCTGCTGGGAGAGGTTGTGGGCTGCCCCACACTAGAGGCATTCAGGTAGAGGCCAGACAGTGATCTGAGTGGGACGGTATAACTGGTGTCCTGCACCAGCAGGGGGTGGGATCTGATGGCCTTCTTGGCCCCTTCCACCCCTACTGCTCTCCGACTCTAAGAACACAAAAAAGAAAACCATATCGCTGCACAGTGACAATCAGGGATACATTGAACCGGTCTTGCAAGCATTTCTAATAATATGGATGCATACATACATGCTGACATGTATGCATAGAAACGGTCGAAGTTCCTGTCCCACATCACCATTATAGGTTGAGGTAGGTTGACAAAATATTGTAATGAGTGTTGAGATGAAGTTGTCACTGGTAGATTATGCCCCCATAGGATGCTGCTGTATCCACAGGTTCTCAGTCCACTGTGTGGGTGAAGGAAATAATTTTTCCTTCCTTCCCTTTAGTACGAACTTAGCCACCATGAGGGCTCATATGTTGCAGTTGCCTAAGGATGGCTTCCAGGAAGTGGGAATGTAATTCAGCAATACATTAATATCTTTCAATGAGAATGAGGTATTTAGCACTGCACTGATGTTTCAAACAACTGCTGTCCAGAGGGGAGGGCATTTCCACACCATGTACAATGATGATGCCTCTGTCATCCCACATCACCAGCATTTATTAGAGGGAAGTAGTTTTTCTGAAACAGGCACTGGAGTTCAATATGCCCGATAGAGCAATTTTTGCTGTATAAGGCACAGTTCCAGGGTTTAATTTAAATGCAAAATATGATCAGATTCACATGGAATGACAACCCACAGCATGACTTGTTGACTTATTCAGCATTTATCCATGATTTGCTTGCCGTATGATTGTGATCAGAATCACATAACATAAAAACACAACTTAGGAGGTTTTATTTATTTTGGGTTGGTCAAGACATCTATATTCTGCTGTTTCAAGACTGGGTCTGGGACGCACTAGGCAGGGATTGCTTTGGAGGCTTGCTTCTCCTTGGTGACAGGTGCGGTCATCATAAATATTACAACAGGGAAGGGGTAAAGATACAACATGTATTCAAGGTGCTACTGTGATGCAGGATAGCAGAAAACCAATGGGAGTTGAAGTCTACAACTTCCAGAAATCTACCTTCTGCCTATTCCTGCTCAATTCATGGGCCACCTAGCCCATGTTTGGTTTAAAGTCAGAGAATCATAAGGAGGGAGGGCAGCACAGGCCCTGAAGGTGACCATCAATGGAGTATTTCTTACTCCTAGCTTTGGCCTGGTAATGAGCAACTGGAGAATTTTTGCTTTGACTTCTGTGCAGTGGGATTGAGGCTTTATGCCTGTTAATCTGTTTTGATGGCTGAATACAACTATAGCACATCTACTGTAATGTTTTATGAAATGACTTTAGAGGGTTCAGGCTGCTAAGATGCCAATTAAGCTACTGGAATTGCACAAACAAAGTGGTCTTTGTCTAGGCATGCACTATTAACTTAATGTAGGTTTCAGTGGGTTTCTTGCTTTCCTTTTAATTATTTGTTTATTTAGAAGATCTACTGCACCATTCCTTATGTAGATTACAAAAGTAATCCACTATAACTTCACAAATAAATAAAAGGAAAGGACAACAACAAACAACAGCAAGGAAGCTGTTTTAAAGTAACCAGAAGCTACCATACTTCAGACACATCATGAGAAGGCAAGACTCACTGGAGAAGACAATCATGCTAGGAAAAGTGAAAAGCAGAAGGAAAGGAAGACTGTATAAGACAGTGATGGTGAACATTTTGGAGACCGAGTTCCCAAATGGCAACCCAAAACCAACTTATTTATCGCAAAGTGCCAACACTGCAATAAAACCTGAAAACTGAGGTTTTAGTTTAGAAAAAGCACCTCACAGTCAGTCCAAGCAAATATATACATATATCCTTGGCAGCACACTGACCGGCCATCTGAAAGCTCAGATAAGTCGCGGCCAATGAGATGCGGCTCATGACATTATTGCCTGGTGCTGCTACTGCTTTCTGAGCATGCACATGGTCCCTCTATCTGATGCTCGGCTGCTGGGGCGCTGCTGGGGTGACTTGGCTCACATGCAGACAGAGAGGGTTCTGTGTGTCCGCTGTGGCACGTGTGCCATACGTTTGCCATCACTGGTATAAGACATGGATTGAGGTCATAAAGGAAGCCACAGCCTTGAATTTATTACAGATAAGCATCGATGTCATGGATGGACATTGTGGACAGCTTTCACTCATAGGGTCACCATAACTCAGAGACGACTTGATGGCACTATATGCAACTATGCGAAGCAGCCTTAAATAGAAGAAGCAGCCATCTTTTCCTCCCAAGAACACACCTGAGCTATGTGCTGCTTATTATTTTGCATTATATTGTATTTTAGACTGCAATCCTATGCCCAATAAAAAGCCACAGAAAAATTTGGAGCCCCAGCTCCAACCCCACCAAGGCACTCTAAAGTTAACACTGGAGTCTATAAACTTTCTCTATAAAGAGAAATATGGGCATCCAATGGAGGGTGTCTGAGTTGGGTCATCAGTTTCACCAGAAATCAACTGCAGCACTGCCAAGATTCCTCATAACCTATTGGAGCCTCACTTTCCCCCTCCCTGCACCCCAGAATGCCCCAGTTGTGCATGTGACTTCAGAGCTGCAGCTGGCACAGGAGGGAGGATACATGAAGAATGAGCTTCATGGCTGTGTGGGGACTGGAACCCTGGTCTCCCAAGTCCCACTCTCACCACTGTGCCACATGGAAGGGACAGAATTCCATGGTCCAGAAGCAATAGAGGAGAAAGCCCTAGCACATGCCACTGACAAATGCATTCTTTGAATGATGTTGTCCTCAAAAGAGTTGTTCTTAGTAAATGGACTAATTCGTAATGAGACATGCAGTCTCTTAGATAGCATGGCTGAAAGCTTCAGAGCATCAAAGGCTAAAACCAACACCTTAGATGGGGCCTAGAAAGCACCCAACCACTAGTGTTGAGCATCCAATCCCAAGGTAGCATGTTCTTGATGCAATGCGCTGGTTAACAGCATAGCTGCTGCATTTCACATTAACTGAAGCATCTAGACACTCGTCAACAGTAGCCCCATTGCATGAAATGGCATATCCAATGCATGGGGAACCACTGCCAAATAAGAGCAACTCAGAAGAGTTTGCAGGTGGCTCCTGAAAAGCAAATGCACTCTTTGCCACTGCCACCTAGTTCTAGAGACCCCTTCGGAACAACCTCAATCCCGATCTCTGAGCCAGACTTCCTGTTCACAAACAGCATTTCCCTCTCACCCAGCTTTAATTTATTCAACCTCCTTGAGCTTAGGCAGCATTTAAGGGTATCAGCTGCTTCCTTGATGTTAGGCATCAAAGAACAAGAAAGCTGAGTGTCATCAGCATGTTGGTGGCACCTCAGTTCCAAAGCTCCAGATGGTGTCTCCCAGCAATTTCATGTAGATTTGAAATAGCACAGGGGACCAGATAGAACCCAACAGAACAGCATAAGATAAAGGCTTCTGTACAATAGTCCTTCACCACTACCTTTAGGAGACAAGAAGATGAAAAAGCACTTATCAGCCCTCACTGATGGCCACTGCCAGTTTGTCCCATGAAACATATTTATTTTGAGTTTCTTTCACCAATATTAGGAAATGTATTTTATTATGATTACTTTAAAAATCTTTTTATCATATATAAAGACAAAGGCTTTCCAAGTATTTAGCCTTATATCTTGGTGGGGAGCGACTAGCATTCCCACGGTTGCATCTAAGTTGTGAAAAAAAATCAAAACTTTCATGAAAATAAAACTGCTGCATCATCTCTTTCCTTGCATTCCCAAATGTTAAAAATATTTCACCCAGAATTAAATTTTTCCAGTTTATTATGCACCCTCTAATGGTTTGCTGACAAACTGAAGAAGCTGCCCTTTTTCCTTTTTGTTACCTGGTTTAACATTGTTGAATTCTTTTTCAATTGTCTCTTCAGTGGTCGATAGCATAAGGTTCCTCACATAGAGGATTTTAACTGATGACATTGTATCTTCATCAACCTCAACCTCAGGTTCTGCCCAGTCTACAGCTATAGGATGTCCCCATAACTGGATCCTTCCTGTGAAGTAATCGGAATCCTAGAATTAATTAATATATTTCTATTATATAATTCATATAAATATAATTACTCACTGGTTTGGGAAAAAGGGGGAGGAAAGAGGGCTTTATGGAGATGTGTGTCAAAAATGAATTTGTACTTTGCTACAGAGATGCTCAGACCTATTAGATTCCTGTTCATGTTCAGTTGCACTTGGTAGTTTTTCCTGATATTTTCTTGACATCTTGGCCCCAAGGCCAAGCAGCTGCATGGAAAGTTGCCCAGATAATGCCCTGGATTGTCACTGCAGGGCTATGTGATTGTGAACATGCTTCTTCCATTGGTTAGATTACAGGGAGCTGTTCCATGGAACTATGGGCACATGCGAATGCTACCAATCCAGTCCAGAGGCTTCGTGGAATATATGGCCAATCCAGAGCCTGAGGGGAAATATGTCCCAACACTGGATTGTGTTCCCTTAAGTCTCTCACACACACATGCTGGTCACAGTATATCTGGTTGTGTCCATTCTGGAGTTTTGGCCACCTAAGTTCCCTTTTTATTCCGAATACTAGAATATTACAATAATTTAGGCCCATTACCCGGTAACAGTTTCCGTCTTGCCATGGCTGCAGCCCGATGACTTTCATATTCCACAAAAGCGAATCCACGGTTTTTTGCTTTATCAGCTGCACTGGGATACACGATGACATCAACAACACCATCTGTAACTTTCCTCATCTCTACTAAAATTTCTTCCCTTTTCTTGGTTTTAGGAATTCCTCCTACAAATAAACGGCAGTTGTCTACACTGGCACAAACCCCTAGGAGCCGACCATTCCTGCATACAAAGAACAGTTCCATTTTTGTGGTGAAACAGGCTTAGTTCTGTAAGAAAATATCACAGTTTAGACATTTCACCGCCACATCAGACTCTCCAAACAGCTTAGGAAAAGCTGAATGTTATGCAAACCAGCCCTTAAAATATAAGGGGCTTCCGAAATTGCTTATCATCAGATTTAGATGTGTGAAGGTGGGGATCTATCTCTATATTAATGGGGTTATTAAAATTTTGCTTATACAAGTTATTCCCACTTATATATTTAAGTGCAGTTTTTCTACAACAAATTAATCAGGATTTGTTATACATAACTATTGTGCATGTATTTTCCAGTTATAATAAATTCTTAAAGCACTTACTTTCAATTAGGTGTCATAATTTCATCCTTATCCTAACAGTAAAGTCCTAGACACCAATTCTGTTTGTGGATATGAGAACTGAGACAGAGGCTAACTTCTAACACTCCCCAGGTGGCCTTCTGGAAAATCCGTGCACAACAAACGCCACTCTCCTCATATAGCTTCTTGCCTTTGGCTCTGAACTGTGGCCCTTCGCGTGAATGGGCCCAGTGCCTTTCCATTCCCGATCCCTGACATATACTCTTGCTATGCTGGGTGCGTCTGGGTGGGCTGGCATGGAGAATCGTGCTATGATCACCATGCGCAGGGCTCTGGGGGGTTTTCTGGCGGACACGGCTGCTGGCTGCCCCGTCAGAGCTTTGGCCGCTGTTTGGAATACAGGAATGACCTGGGCGGTTGCCACAGTCGCTCCTAAGCACCCTCCCTGTTGTAGAGCTCATATAGTCCCATGGTGTACTCCAGAGCTGAGAGTGTTGAAACAAGTCAAGAGACCGCTTGGAGAACTCCTGTTCTCGGAGAACAGGTGCAAAACTCCTGTTCTGAATGGAACAGAAACCTGGCATGTGAGTACAATTGGGTATATATCACTGCCTCTATCCAGTCCTCACTTTGCCACCCAGCAGAGCTTTTCAAGGTTGTCCAGGGCTCCATACACTCTGACCCCAGAGATACCTTGGGACCATCTCTGGCATGCTGAAACTACTCTCTGGGAACTTCCAGGAAAAAATCTGTTGCACCCACCAGGATATGGACTCCAGTGATAACCCCTGACACTCCAGAGTTACAGCACTGAAATTGATGGAGCTATCCAGAGCACGGTCTTGTCCAATTTTTATTGGCTGTTTTTCAGCTTGAGGATGTGGACAGGTTCACGCAGCTACCTCTGTTCTGGTGCCTGGCCCCTCCTGGCTTATAACAGCCAGAAAGGAAGGAAGGACTGGCTAAGTCAGGGAGGTGATCAGTGCCTCTGTGCAAGAGGGAGTGCTCCCATGCTGCCTTAAAGAGGTGGTGGTGAGACCACTTCTCAAGAAACGCCCCCTTGACCCAGAAAATTTGGGAGTGACTACTCCTTTCCTGGGCAAGGTCCTAGAGAGGGTGGTTGCCAATCAACTCCAGGCACTCTTGGATGAAACTGATCATCTGGATTCACTTCTACTGGGGCTCAGGCCTGGTTTTGGCACAGCCTTGGTTGCCCTGTATGATGAGATGTGCTGGGTGCAAGAAGGGGAATTGAGACTTGGTAAATACTGGTCAGCCCAGTGGATTCTTCAGCATGGAGTCCCTCAGGGGTCTGTTCTGTCCCCCATATTATTTAATGTCTACACAAGACTGCTGAGTGGGGTCATCTGGGATTTTGGAGTGTGTTGCCACCAGTACGTTCATGACACGCAGCTCTATTTGTCCTTTTCATCACTGGTGAGGCTGTGGATGTGCCAAACCAGTGTCTGGCTTCAATAATGGACTGCATGAGCATTAACAGGCTGAATTCAATACAGACAAGACTGAGATGCTGTTTGTGAGTGATTCCTTTGACCTGATGGGGAGTGTTCAGCCTGTTCCAGATAGGGTCGCACTCCCCCTGAAGGAGGAGGTTCATAGCATGAGGGTGCGCCTTGATCCATCTTTGTCACATGAAGCTCAGGTGACTTCAGATGTCTAGTGGCATCCCTACCTGGACAGGGACAGCCTGGTCAGGAATTTGTCTTCTGATCATCTCTAAATTGGATTACTGCAACACATTCTATGTGGGACTGTCCAGATTAATAACTGGGACCTGGAGGTCCAAAAGGTGGTTCTGGCTTCCTGCACTGGCTGCCTGTATGCTTTTGGTCCAAATTCAAAGTGCTGGTCTTAACCTGTAAAGCCATACATAGCTCGGTACCACAGTATCTGTTGTCATGCCTCTTCCAAACCCAATCTACTCAGACACTATGTTCAACCTCTGGGTCCTTCCTCAAGAGGCTCAGAGGGTGGCAACTCAGAAGAGGACCTTTTCTGTGGCGGCCCCCATCTCGGGACCATCCTCCCTGCTGTGTCCTGCCTGGCACCAAATTTGCCATCTTTTCAGCTCCAGGTTAAGACAACCCTCTTTGCAGAGGTATATAAATACCTCCTTGGTCATTCTGGGGCCAGATAAATTTAGTCAGGTGCCTTTTATTCCTGGCCAAGTTTTTTTAAATTGTATTTTAATATTCTTTATATTATTTTAAAATTCATGTTAATGTTTTTATATATTTTATTTTATTGTTTTTATACTTCACTGTAAACTACCTAGTAAGCTCCAGCTATGGGTGGTATAGAAATAAAGTAAATAAATAATAGAAACCAATTAATACGGAAATATCTACAATTTCTGGGGAAGGAAACTGCTTTTCTAATTTGGTTTGACTCTTAGTTATATAATGCCACTGTTCTTGGGGAAGGAGGGCAGCCGAAGTATCTGTACATCACAGGGTCACCTACAAGCAACTGCCCTGTGGGGAGAAATGTGTTTTAAGAGCAAAGTTTGTAGCATGCTTTAATATTAGGAACCAATTTCAGAACATCAGTCAAAAAGTGGGACACAAATCCACTAAATCAAAATAAGCTAACTAGGCTTACCTGATTTCATAATTGTTCAGTTGCTTGATTGCATTCTTGGCCTCCTGTTTGTTGGAGAACGTTACAAAAGCATATCCCCTGTTGTTTCCATTGAAGTCCATCATCATCCGCATTTCATAGATTTTGCCAATCTGTGAAAATAAAGGATAAGCTCTGTAAACATGCTAGGAAAGGGAAGTTTTCACAGAAGGTCTCTGGACAAAGCCCCACTGCTCTTGCAACTCTGCCTGTGTGCCTGTTTCCCTACGGGGTAGCTTGATCATTGTCCCTGAGCATAAATCTGAGTATATTTTACTTCAGATCTGCTTTCTGACCCATGTACAAAGTTGAAATAAAAAGAAGCAGCATATGTCAAAGTCCAGCCCATGCTAAGCTTGTTATCAAGGTAAATGACCTCTGTCAACATACTCTGATAATGCATTGAGTTTCTGTGCTTGTCTCAGGTATCTCAAAGTGCACCCATTTAAATATAAACAATGATGACTTACAATTCTTTCTTTCTTTTTTTCTTTTAAAATCCTATTTCTGTTTATAGGTTCAAAAGCTTCCACATCACTCACAGCCAAATTACATGGCAGAAACTCAGCTCAGCACAGCTCACTTCAATGAAATGTATTGATTGGGTTCACACAACATGACAGTCCAGAGTGTGGGATGAGCCTGGCTTGAGCACAGGCTGTTGTTTAATCATAGAGTGCTGTGCTGTGTGACCAAGAATGCTTTTACATTCATGCTGGGCTCAGTCATAGCCTGAGAGTGCAATACTGGGAGTTCTTTGGACAAATGGAAGGAGCGAAAAGAGATTACTTGTGTGAGTACTTCTCTTCATCCTCCTTCATGATGCAGATATGCCTGGGCATTTGGTTCAGTCAGAACCTCAGTTCAAATGGTACATTTTGTACGGTCACTCCACATTTATCTATATCAACTTGTGTTCAAAGATTGGTTCAAAACATATCCTTTGCTTTTACTTATGGGAATTACTTCCTGTTCATATTCTTAAGGTTAGTAAAATGGAGGTGCCAGGTGTTGTAAAGTGATGGAAGTTGGAGCAAAGAAGCCCAGTGTTGGGTATAAGCTGATGGGATCTGAGCTAGCAGCAACTGACAGAAAGAGGTTAGCAGTGTGCTAGGTGGCTTGATAACAATGTCAGTCCAGTGCATGGTGGCTGTAAAAAAGACAAATTTCACACTGAGCATAAATAGGAAAGAATGAGGAAATAAAACTGCCAATATCATGCTAATCTATGGTGCAACCATTTGTTGCCATTCCATACACCGACTGAACTCGATTCCATTCCCCAACTTTTCCATTTTGTTCCCTTCCTATCCCTTCATCCACATTCCATGCCTACTGAGCATGCTCAGTCCTCATTAGGTTATTTGGGGTCCCCTGAGCCTTTAGGATTCCTCCCTAAATACTTTTTTTCACTTCTGCAAACCTTGGTCTCCTGTTTGCTACGTCTTGTGTGTCGCTGCTGCCATGATGCCATTGAGCTGCAGGACTTGGAGATCACAATAAACATGGCACTAATGTGCTGTTACGTTTCCTCGCAAACACAAGGCATAATCAGCAGCTGTAGTTTTTGGCTTGCTTTCGGGCAGTGCAGCAAACACACTGCAGTTGATGACTTGTCAGATTTCCTTTATGAACGCATGACCAGCTTGGCTTTTTAATGGATTTGTCTCTTTGCAAAATCCTTTGACCGCTCTTACCAAGGCTTGCTCCTCTAGGCATTACTATCACAAATGGTTTCACTGATGTTAATGGAAGTAATGATGTGAAAAAGACTATAAGAATGTTCTCTCAGGACAGAATTCTATTAATTCATGTGAATAGAGCTCACTCTACAAAGATTCTGTGATGACAAACTCGCCTGCAAGAAACGGCATGTCCTGGCACTGATAAGCAGAAATGGAACACCCTTTCCAAAGGATGATAATAATAATATGGAATTATCTTACTACTAGCAATATAAGATAATTTCATTTTAGGTTGCAAATCATGGGAACTTGCCCTGTGGATGAACCCAAACACAAATGTAAATACATTTTTGGAGGGGGATACATATTCATATGTTCCCATATTGTGACCACTTTTGAAAAATGCATATTTTCTGGAAAAAAATGTGCTCTTTCTAGTGCACATGTTGCCAACAAAGCAAAACCCCACACATTTTCACATTTAATCAATGGGGGAAATGCACATGCGTTGAAATGCACACTACTCGCCACTTGTTCAAACGAGAACAGGCTGCAGATGAAAACAAGGCAAGCCAAGCACTGAGGAAGAATCTTGGTGGAAGTGGGCACCCGCATCTTGCATCTCCACTTCTCCGTGCTGAAGTGGTGGATTTGGATGTGCAGGACCTCACCGTGATAGTGGCTGCGGCTCTTGACCAGACCCGGCTCTCTTAGTAACATTCTTCTCACCTTGGATAAGGGTATGAGATGGTTCTTAAATTATAACATTATTTTATAATAATGATTTTCATATAGGACAGGGTAGAACTATTTTAAATAAATAAATACTATTATATTATATTATATTACATCATTATAGGCTATTATATTGCAATACAATATAATACTATCATTGCTTGATTTTATTCAGAAGATTACTGTGAGAAGAAAGCTTCAGCTTTTTCTACACGCATATCTAAGAAATGGTAATCATGATATTATTTGATCACTGAAAAGGATCAATTTGTGGCCAAAATGCTTTTGATATCTATTATATGTGAGCATTTCCATAAAATTTGCTTTGCAGATACACCATTACTTGCTTTCAGTTTTGTGACATGTCTCTCAGTAGTGTTCCTGGAATATTATTCATTTAATACCACCTATTCCAGGTTTTAAGTCCCTGTTGCTGTGACTCCAAAGTGAATTTATAGTGCTATCCTAGAATCCCCCACCCCACAATGCGCACACTTTATATCATTATTTATATTGTTCAAAATCAAAGGAGCTAATGCCCTGGTTGAAAATTCCACCATAACACCTTGACAACCAGACCTACAAGCAAGCCACCAATAAAATCTTAGCAGTAAGTTTATGGACAATATATCCAATATTCCATTCTCAGGCAAATGATGGAACATATGGTGGCTTCTCAGGTCCAGAGAGTTCTGGAGGAAATGGATTACTAGAACCATCTTGGGCTTGCTTGAGGCCTTGTTATGAGGCAGAGACTGCTTTGATTATCTTGGTATTCAAGCCATGCCTGGAACTGGTCAGGGGGACTGTGCCCCTGGATCTTTTGGCAGCTTTCAATGCCATCACCCAAGACATATCTCTGAGGTACCTTTTTAAAATAGGACTACTCAGGTCTTCTCAGAAGCTGGTGCTGGAGGATTCATGTTCACCATTGGCCTGTGCCCGTCTTATCTTTCATGCTACTTAACATGTACATGAAACTGCTAGAAGAAATTGTCTAGAGTTTTGGGTTCAGTAGCACCAGTATGTTGGCAATAATGAATTTTCCTTCTGTTCACCCATTCACCAATATCCATTCAGCTACTAAATTGGGGTCTGATATTAGTAATGTGCTGGATCATGGCAAACAATTTGAAGCTTCCAGACAAGAAAGAGGGGCTTTGGATTAGTTGAAATGCAGATCAGGGAATATGGACTCAACTTGGGCTAGATGGGGCTATACACTCCCGATGATTCAGGCTCACAGTCTGGGAATACTCTTGGACTCAGTCCTTTCCTGGATTGCATATTTGCATACCGAGGCTTGTACACCAGTCCCTAGAGATGTCTGATCTGGTCGTGGTCAGGCATGCCTTGGTTGCATTCCATTTGGACTACTGCAATTCATGTTATGTGTGCTTTCCTTTGAAACCTATTCAGAAACTTCAGCCAGTCCAGGGCCAATTGCAGGAAGTCCGGGACTCCATTGTTACAGCAGCTTCTCAATGTACAGGTTAGGAAGGCCTATACAGCTTGTGACCAGGCTAACTGAAAGACCACCTACTTTCATACCAGCCTGCCCTGTTCTTTAGATCTTTTGGAGAGGCCCATCTTTTGAGACTGTCCAGAAGTGTGGTTTTGGTGAGTGTGCTCAGGCTGTGGAATTCCCTCCCAAATTCCCTGGGTTTGCTCCTTTTTTTCTATCATTCTGCCAGCATGCAAAGATCCACTTGATTCAAGATGGCCTTGAATGGCATCTGTTGACGTGGAAGCTGTTTTTATCATTTGTGTGTGCTTTGCTTTGTGATCGTTATGTTCATATTGTATTGCATATTCAGGCTGCAACCCCAGCTTGTGCTGTCCAAGCTCAGGTGGCTGCAGTTGTGCAAGGGTTAAACAACTTTCACTGAACCCTAGAACAGGCCGTAGGTTAGGTGTGGGTTGTATTATTATTAATATTACTACTACTACTACTACTACTACTTTTTATATGTCAGCCTATAGCCCAAAGTGCTTCCTGAGCTGCTTACATAAAAACAATAAGAAGCATGATAAAAATGACAATTAAATAAAAACAGTAAAAAAAACAATAAAACCAATAAAACAGTACAAATCTGGCTATCATGCAAGGAAGAAACAACAAGGCAAGTAGCAATAATGTTAAAACAGTGTTAAAACCAGTTCAGCCACTAAAACACCTGTAAAATATGCAAGGCTTTCCCGGTTTAAAGGAAAGTTTCGTTGGCACCAGGTGCACCTCCCAGGGGAACATATTCCATAAGTAGGGTGCTACTACAGGAAAGACACTTCTCCTAGTCATTTTCCCCCTCACTTCATGGAGAAGGAGCTCCACTTAAGATCTTAGTGATCAGGTAGGGATTATGGAGACAGGTGTTCCCTCAGATATCCCAGCCCCAAGCCATTTGGGGCTTTACATGTTTATGTCAACACTTTGAATTGGGCCCAGACTGTAACAGGCGGCCAGTGCAGCTGATAAAGGACTGACTTGATATGTTCCTGAGAGCCAATCCCCATCCATAGCTGTGACACCCTGTTCTGAATTAGGACTGTTTTCAAAGGCAGCCCCACATTAGTAATCCAGTTTCCGAATGAACATAATTTAGTGAAGGTGGCACTTCATTGACAACAGGTTAACTACTGGCCTTTTCAGTGCATTTATAAAAGGCTTTAAGAATATGTTATATCGGATAGTTACAGAAAGATAGTTATTGTCTGCTACAAGAAAAACAGCAATGAATCCTGTGGCACACATTTATTGCATCATGAAACAATAGTCCAGAACTTCATTGGGCACAAGTTGCCAGATGTGCAAAATGTATTCAAATCTTTTATATAAAGTTGTGGAAACTAGTATAACTATGTGCCATTGGTTCCAGCCATGTGGGTGAAGGAGTGTCTGTAACTGTATTAGCTTGCCATCTGAGGCATATTTAGACAGGAAACAGTCCTTCAACTCCCAGCATGCTAGGTGTTGTAGGACTTCTTTCTGACTAAACATATATGGGTTACATGTCTATAGCTGAAATTCTCTTAACTGTAAATGAAAAGGAAATGCATATACCACAATTACATTTAATGAAAGACTTCTCTCATTCTATTTCTGTTTCTAATGTATAACACTTAGAAGTGTTTGAGACTGAATGTTATTTTTAGTCTCATGTGTGAACTCATCCTTAACCACGGTGTGTATCCTTGGTTTCCAAAAGCAGAGAATTTAGTTAAGAAATTGGCAAGCTCTGATAAGTGCTTCAAAGCAGGTCACTTCACTGGTAAATCATTGCAACTTGATTTCAATTTATTCTAGGGAAAGCAGGTTTGTCTGAGCTCAGCTGATTTCCTGCCCATCAAGTCCATGTGATGCCATGATTGGAAACAGGTGGACTTGAAGTTTCTTTTGCAATCAATTTACATAAAATCAGCATTTGTTCAAATAGCAGAATCTGCATAAATCCTACTAGAACCCCATGGGTTTTGGATGCTTATTTACACAAATTTCAATTGCGGTTAAAGAATAGTGACCAAATGGCAGTCTGCCCTATAGATGGTAGGCCACATACTGGCTCAACTGGTACGACAGTGAATTGGTGCCAGTACGGAGATAATGAACTGTACTGGAGTGAGTCCTCACACATCCTTGTATGTATCCTTCCTCCAAGCAGAACAGTAATACTTTAACCTTCCAAGAACTACATAACAGTGGTGAAGGTGAGAGATAGGACTTGCACAAGGAAACCTAATATCTGTATAGCTAACCAGGGAACTGACCCTGGTCTTTCTGTATACCCAACCATGGGCTTAACTCTGGACTTTCCAACCAATCAAGTCAAGACTTTGACCCTGGGCTTTCTAATCTGTAGAGTAAGCAGAGAGATGATTTTGGGCTTGTTGGTCATCTATTTAGCCAACCAGGGATTTCACCCCGGACTTCAAGAACAGAGAATAAATGCTTAAGCCACTAAGGCGCTCAGTGGCTGTTTCCCATACAGTGGCATCACTGCCTATGATATTTTCCATCACAGAAATCCTATTGTTTATTGACATGTATGCATAGGGCTTCTGTCATTTCAGACTTTTTGCCATCCTACTCCTGATAGTTGGATACTGAGCATAGCTATTCATCATTTTAACAACTTTTCCTTTTGACTTGAGATCAACATTTCTTGCAAATAAATTCTTAAAATATATGCAAGAGAAGAAAACCTACTAAATTTAAATCATTACTTTTTCACATAATGGTATAAGCTCATCTTCAAAGAGGTCTCGGGGTAATTTTCCAATGAAAATCTCACAGCCTCGTTCTGGTGGTGGTCCATCCCATCCTGGTGGTGGCCCTCCATACTTTCTTTGGCCATTTTCCTGTGTTGAAAAGAACAAAAGAGATGTTGAGGTGTGTGTTCATCTCAATATAGCATATCTTTTTAAATTAATCTTTAAGTTTCTTTGCCTGGTTCTATCTTTCTCTGCTTGTGCTTCTTTGGACATGAATAGAACTTCCCATGTAATTGTGGAGACTTTTTTCTTAGGGTTCTTGATTGTGAGATGAGTTCTATTACATTCAAGCAAATGTTTGTAAAACTCTCTTTTAGACTTCGCTGATTGAATATGGCAAGGTCTGAACTGAGTGGGGAAAGGGCAGCTTTGCTGGAGAAGGAGAAGGCTGGGCCAGGGTGCATGGCCTCAACGCTATACTTCCTTGAAGCCCTGACAGCTTCTTTATTTCCTTAGGAATGTCTCATAACTTCCACCAGAGGCAAAAAATCTGGTGGCTCCAAGAAGGATTGTGGAAATAGCATGGCATGAAGTGGTAGGACATTTAGCTGCCAGGATTTAATAGGGATGGGGGAAGATTTTATTAAATTTGCATTCTGGTGAGAAAGAACTTAGCCAATTCCAGAATCAATATGTGAGCCAAATTTTGCAACTTTTCCAAAACATAGAATGCATAGAAATGTGCATAGATAAAAGAAAATGTCAATGCACGTATTGGTAGAGAAAGCGTACAAAAAATAATAAACATAAGTATTGTTCAGTGTCTTTCAGGAAAGAGCCCTTAAAATGTCTATATTAAGAAAAGCACATACAAAAATGTATATGTTAGTAGATATGTGCATAAAATGCATATAAATTGTTACACAGGCTGTTGTCTGAAGTCTCAAACTGATGCAGAAACAGGATGGAATGAATTGAGGACTAGAAAAACAAACAAAATAAACTAAAATGGAGAGATTCATTCTTCTCAAGTATTGTGTGATTGCAGTAGCCCATACTTGAGCTGATGCCATTGCTCAGACTAGGTACTATGCAATGTTAGCCTATTCAGAGTAAATGATTGAAATTAATGGGAGTTGTTCGTCACAACTAATATTAAATACTACTACCGTTTCTCAGCAAGGTTGTTGAAGTGAAAACCCCCTGGAAGAGGCTAAGACAACTATCTGCGGGTTGTATGACATGTGCCAAAGATTCTGTGGGTTTCATGATGCACAGCACTGCAGCAAATCAAACGCCTATTGCATGTAGCACCATAACCAAAGGTGTCTAGGTTTTGAGCATACCCTGTAAAAGAAAGCCAAAACCCAATAATGAGATCATTTACTTAGGAAATAACAAGCTGTGGAGGATGCTGAGCAAATCCCGGCTAAGCAATTTACATGGGATCCTGTAAACATCTGCTTGGAAGTAGACCCCATTGAATTGAATGGGATTTGCCTGTAAGAAAATGTGTTTAGGATCGCAGGCTTAATTTACCTTCAAATGAGTAGTCACGTCACAGTGAAATTCCTACCTGAATCAAACTATATCCTGTGCGCTGAATTAATGTGCGGAGGGCAGCTTCTTTCTGTGTGCCGGCCAATCCATCCCTGGATTTTTGATTTGATTCCATTGTGAGTGATTATCACCAAAAAATCAGGTTAATTATGGGGTGCTCACTGCAATCAAATTTGAGATAAATTAAGTAAATTAATAGTTCTGTAAAGGAAAGCTCCATAATATCAGTGAAGTTGCTCTGCATGAATCCCACAAGCAAACTAGAAGGCCAAACATCTGCATGAAGCAAAGGGAATCAAGCAAGTGCCTCGGCATTCCAGAAGAGCTTTGTGAACTCTCATGCAAGAAATCATTAACAGACTCGGGGTGCAACTTACTGTGCAAACTGTAGGACTTGTACAATCTAGGAACAGTAGTACCACTGCTCATCTGCCATATTTCCACTCAACAGCTGCTGGCTGAGTGAATTTGTCCTTAGTGTTCAAAGACCAAAATCAAAATGAAGCTGAACGTTGTTTCACTATCTGTATTCTGTAGTAATTCCCCCCACCAAAAGAAGATGATGTGTTTGTGATTTTCATTCCCAGTGAATGGACACAAATTATTCCGCTTAGTGGTTCTTTGAATAGGTGCTTATTGCAACAGGATTGCTTTGATAAGCTAGCAGAATGACTGCTTTTACTTTAAATGACAAGTGCCATGTTATATTGTGACAGTATATTAGATAAACATGCCTGTCCTCAATATGGCTTCAGAGGAATCCAAATCACATATCAAGAGCAACAGAAAAAAGGGAATTAAAAAGGGAGTAAAGGTGCCACGATCTCATTCAAAGACAAGTCCACCTCTTGTAAATACAATCATGGCATTCTACTGCAGGTTAAAATATTTCGCTATACTGTAAACCTCATTTGTTGCTAAACATTTAGGTAGTAGCTACTCAAGGTATTTGTACTACAAAGTTCCATGCTAGAACAGACACACACAAAGGAGTACACATGCATAGGTCTTTGGAGGAAAATTAGAGCTGGTTTGCAGCTGTATCAACACTACTCTACACTCCTGTTTACAGGGGCCTTATTTGGGCTTTCTACTTAGGGTGTGCTGCAGGTTGGGGGAGGTACCACTCAGAATAGCCCTTTCCTCTGGTATTCATGTGCACAGTTCAAATGGCTAGAGAGGGGGGTCTTTGTCCATCCATAACCCTGATAATGTGGGCTTATATGGAGGCCTCTATGGCTACAGCTGTCCATGTGGATGCCGGGGAGGGGAGCTACGTAATGCTCATGGTATCAGGGCTGGAAACTGCTCAGCTCACATGTTCACCAAAGCCAAGAGTGGGCAACATGCAGCCCATGGGTATTGATGCTTGATGGGCCATTCCAAGGCCTGTTCTCCCTTCTTATTTATTTATTTTTCAATTTATATCCTGCCTTTTTCCTACGAAGGGCTCAAGGCAGCTTACATCATTCTCCTCCTCCATCTTCTCCCCACAACAACAACCCTGTGAGGTAGGTTGGGCTGAGAGTCTGTGACTGGCCCAAAGTCACCCAGTTGGCTCCATGGCTGAGCGGGGACTAGAACCCAGTTCGTCTGAGTCCCAGTCCCAGGCTCTTAGCCACTACACCACACTGCTTATGGTTCTTTGATTTTCAGTGAGGCATGGGCTGGGCGCCTATCGAATAAAGAACACCTCCAAACAGAGGACTGTCCCTTTCAGTTAGAATACCTGACAATCCTGCTCAGTAGGCTGCCTTATAGGTTGATATATTTAGTTAAAGGCTGGGGACAGAAACAAATAGTAGGTAGCACTGTTGAAGGACAAGCTGGGTCCAATCCACCTGCCATCTTTGCCTCGTTATCTTCTGACTCTGTGGGAATTTGTTTCCGAACTCATCTGCCCCAGCACTAGAGTTTGGCACCATCCCTATCAGGGCAATCAGCTTATCCAGCACTCTGATGTTCAACAGCTGCTTCAGACATGTATCTAGACCTCTTGGGTTATACCCCAAATGAATTTGCTGGGGTGAACTTGCCCCAAGCAAGGGGGTGGGGGCAACCTAGACTAGGCAACTGGCCTCTGTTCTAAGCAGATGGCAGTTTGGAAATTGCTACATCTTCACATTCCATTCTCAGTATTTCAGCTTTTGTCCTGTGACCAGAATGATAAGCTTAAGATCCTGAGCCAAGTCAAATACAGCATTGGTGGTCACTTGCATCATTAAAATAAAAATTAAAAAGACAAACGAGGATGCTGCTGTGGGCAAGCCACAGAAGTTTAGCCTCATGTCCCACCTTGAATGTGGGGATAACACTTATCTACTTCACAAGATCATTTTAATGTGCCAAGATAATGGAATGGGCTTAGACCCCGCTCAGGTGCTCAGCATTAAGCATCACAATCAAGAGTGACCAGGGTACAAGCACTCTGGGTGGGTTATCTATTGTGTCATTCTGACTAGCCTTGGCTTATTACCATTATCATAAGTCATTTCTACTGGCACAATTGTCTCACACTTTAAATTGATAATGGGCTACTCTGAAAGACAACAGTTGCCTGTAAAGTAGAATTTAAAAATACAGGAAATAAATGAATAAAAATTCTGGCAGTCCCCCATTTGTCCTCCCTAAATAATCTGTGGAAAATGGAGAAAAAGTAGGAATATCTATTCTTCAACACACATACACACACACACACATGAGGAGGAAATTGAAGTTTCAATTTTCCACTGCAAAAAAATGAAAACTAAACAACAAGGTGACACCAATCAGCTTACAGCATATGTATAATAGGTAGCATTTGTCTAATAGCAGCTATGTAAACCTAGGTAGTCTCTGAAGTTTCAGAGAGATATACATATAACCCCCCCCCCCACACACACACACACATTTGTGTGTGAGAGAGAAAAGGTAGAACAGCTTCCACTAAAGGATAATTTAACATGGTTAAACAAGGTTAGTGATTGTGATAGCTGTGGGTGGAGCAGGGGAGGCCAGGGCACCTTCTCCACTGAAGCTTTTCTTCTCAGCTTTACAGGAGGTTTAAAGAAGCCCTCATGGTGTTGAACTCCATCTCAAAAGTTCATCACTGTGGAGTACCATGGATTGCTCCTATCAATCCGAATGGGTGAGGGCCCCACCAACATGAGAGCCTCCAGGTGCCACTGGGGTGAAGCCAGGCGGGACAGAAGAGTCGACTCTCACTCCATGTGTAGGAGAGCTCTTGGCCAACATGCTTACAATGACCCCTCATGGCTCCTCGTGCCCCCCCCCCCCCCCCATCACCTTTTCTGCTGTCTGTTCATTTAGCTCTTTGCATGCCCAGTCTGAACCACTTTCCTGATGATGTGCAGGGTTATTGTTCCTTCTCCTCTCACTTGTCCCTTTGCCCAGAGAGGACAGGTGATTCAGGGGCCAACAACAAGAAGGAAGAACAGTGCTTGAGTGGGCCCCTGATAAGGAACGGGCCTTGGCAATGCCAGCTCTTGACACCAGCTTGTGTCAGCTAGATGGGTTCTGCATGTACCTGCCTGATTCAGGGAATGGGGATGTCCACTGTTTTTACACAAAGAGAAAATGCATGGTTAAGGGAGGAATTATGTCCCTTCACCTTCTTTACCTCACTGCATCCTTTTGCTTGAAGCTCTTTTCTTCTAGTCCAGCTTTGAGACAAGGCAGGAACCAGACTGAGGATTAAAGCATTTGAAGCTGTACAGTCCTCTCAGGTGGAAGCTTCCTCAGGCAATCTTTTTCATGGGAGGAATCCACACTGTTACCTCCCACTTCAACAGGGAAGGCATATCCCAAAACACACATTTATGCCTTCTTGACATATGGCTGCTTCCAGTTTCTTGGAGAGCAATGCTTCCCTCTCTTAAAAATCTCTCCACCCACCCCTTTGAAGGAGAAGCAGATTTTCAGGGAAAATGAGCTGGGGGAAAGGTTTTCTCCCCAAGTGCCACAGGTTATGCACACCTGCACAAGTCATCAAAGTCACCATGATTAGCAGATAAATGGAGTTTGGCCCTGAGAAGGGTATGGTGGAGGACTGGCCGTTTCTGAAGCCCTGCCAGCATATGCAGGTCAAAGGCAAGTGCAGATGGGCATGTTTTTGGGGGAACAGATTTGCCCCCATCTACTTCCCATTCACTACAGAAACACACTCAGTGGTATGCCTATTCTAGATGTTTTGAACTACAGCTTCTACAGTCCCTGCTGTCTGGGAGTTGTAGTCCCAGACATCTGAAGGACTTTCGGTTGCTTGCCCTTGTTCAATGCTGATGGAGTTTTCCACCAGTGTCATGGTGCCTACTTTGGGCTCTTCAGGGAGGGCAGCATCACCCTGCCCATGGAGTGTGTCCTGCACCATGTTGGAGGCTGGCTGGCAGAGTGCAAGGCTGAGGTCTTACTGAGTTTAACTCTTAAAAATTACCATGTGATTGTCATTCTCGCTAAAATCATTTATTCTAAGCCTGATTCTATCAAACTTTGGGAACTACCCATGTTTGTAAAACTGTTACAGGATAAATATGGGCCACTATCAGATGACTTAGAATATCTTGTTTACTAGTTCTATTACAGCTCTACATTGCTAGTGCTGTGCAATTAGAAAAGGAATTCTATTGGCCAGTTATATTTAGAGCACCTTTTCAAAGGCACTTTCAAAATGAGATTTTTAAAAAGATCACCATCACCATCATCATCAAACAGCTGTTAATCTTCCAGCTTTGTCATATAAATTTGATGCAGGCATAATCACTTCATGCACAGAATTTTAAAAAAATCAAATTGAAGCTACTTTTGTCTAGACATAGATTCAATTCCTTCTTCGGGAAATGTATCTCTAAGCTTTATCCAGCAGTGAACTTGAGACAATACACATAAATGAATCTAAATGACTGAGCAAATATAGCTTATTTGGATCGGCATGAGAAGGAGGAGCCCTGCTGAGACCATTTCGTTACCCAAAGCAACGTTTGCCACATACGCACAAAAAGTTGATAGCTGAAGCATACTTGTTTTGCAGTTGAAGTTGGTGACACACATTATCCCAATCACATTAAAAAATTATTTATACATACATACATACATACATACATACATACATACATACATATATTTAAAGGCCACCTATCACTGCTGAGGCCTTCCTAGGTGGCTA